TTCGTTCAATGTGTTTTTAGTCAAGTCTATTGTAATTTGATGACACTTTGGGGAGGAAGGAGTAAATATATTTGGCAATGAAGTTGAGAAATTTGGCCCTAGGTTCTAGGATTGCTGCAGTAGACTGACAAGAAGGGAGACTCAAGACGACTACTCTGCTTGTGCTAAAAATCCTTTATTTGTTTAATCAGATTTCAAAATTGCACTTCCATCAATTTTCTAAAATAAACATATCTTTGACCTTTGTGTAAACTGAATATTTTTGTACAAGTATAGAGTAAAAAAAATGGTGATAATTGTGACCACGTTTACATTTCTTATACCCATCAAAGTCCACTTTTTTCATATTTTGATAGTTTGAACTAAAATGGTGTGCAAGTCATTGAAGCATAGCAAATACTTGGCTACTAATGATTTATAGTAAAGGTTCCCGAGCTAATTTTCTAGTTATACTTTTGTGATATCTTAAAAACTCACAGCTTGATTGTGTCATCTGTGTACCATCTCAGCATCTAAAAAATTCTTGTCATATTTAGGATAACAAATTTGAGTTTTTATTTCTGAAATAAAGATTATATGATAAATGGAATCTTAAACTTGTGTCAATGTAACATGGATTTTAAAAAAATAACCCATGTCTGCCAATAAGCCTACCCATGTCTTTTGTATTTTAAGTAGAAATGCAAAAAATTGCTCTGTCATGAATTTATTTTGAAATAAGCCCTCCTCCTAAGTTTTATTCTACTGTTAATTTGTTTGAAATAAGCTGTTCTCCTACTAAATTTTATTCTGCCATGAATTTGTTTGAAATAAGCCCTCCTCCTAATAGATTTTATTCTGCCATGAATTTGTTTGAAATAAGCCCTCCTCCTCATAAGTTTTCAGATAGGATTAATTTTTGTCTGTCTCTCCAGGGCTTGTCATAGGATAAATACAGTATAGGTCGTAAAGACATCAACACTGCCGCACTTCAGTCACAAAGAGGAACACGTTACATCACCGTTTTATGTGGAATGGAGATCGAGTGCCTTGTAGCTGTAACGTTCCGCTATTTTTTTGTGATTTTCACATCCAAGCTATCTAGTTGCCTCATTCATGTTCCAGCACTGTATCCTATTTATTCCATAAAAAGCCCATGCTGGTAATAATTCTGGTTTTATGGAATTTGTATGTCCCATCTAAACAAAACAGATTATGATGTCTACCTGTCTGCCCAATCACAGTACTATTCTTGCACACAATAACCAATGAGTGTCATTGCCATGAATGTCCTTTGATAAGCCCACCCTTAACTTTGAGCCCAAATTTCCATGTTGTGACACTAGCTGTTTCAAAAGCAGAGCAATGAACAATTTGTGCTGTCTTCATATGTTCTGGGGCTAGATACTCTACTGTAATTGGGTAGGATGGCATATCGTGGTAGGCCTCCAATTTATTATTGAATGAGGTAGTGACCAGCTACTGCAAGTAGATGCTGCATGAAAATGACGCTGTTCATGGCACAAAAAACACTACCAATTAGATACGAGAACCAAGCCTAGTTTTTTTAGTGGTATTTATTTCACTGTGAACGTACACGTAATATATTACTCTAACACATCATGTGTATTGACTGTTTCTAATCAAAAGTTGAAAAGCAACCAGGAATGATTATTTTGGCTGTCATCACACAAATGACAAGGATTTCCTGTTACAGTATTTACATGGAGCTGTTCACAAATAGTGCCATTATGTGTCCAGTCAAAGTATTTAACGGTTGTAAAGGTTTATAGAAACCACAGGTATAATGTTACATATTTAAGAGCTTTCTGATTGAGTTAGTTATTGACAAATCCAACCCTTTAGGATAATATTTGAGGTAATTGATATCGATGTATATATATATATACTTTTTTTAATTAAGCTATATGATTTTTTAGATAAATGAGAGGGGAAATTTGTTTGTAAGATTTAAGGAGTATTTATTGACTTTGGACATGATATCGTGAAGCTGATGCAGTTTTTTCAATATTTATTTATATTAGTATCATATTTTGTGAGCTGATACGAAAAACGAAAAATAAAATTGCGCCATAAATGCAGATACACTTTTAACATATATGGATCAGGGACTGTGTGAAAATTAAAAATCTACTGTTATCAGATAAGAAACTATAAGTAACATTTAAGCATTGCCATCAAACATGTTAGGGGTGTTGTTATTATTTTTCTTGAATGACGTCATATTTACAACTAGGGTCACTTAAAGAAAGCCAGAGTTCACTTGGTTACCAAAGGAAAACCACCTACAAGTGCTGCAAGTGCCTGGCCACTGTTGTAGGTAGAAACCAGAGGTTGAGGGTTAGTGGTAAAACAGTCAGTTAATCACTTGGCCACAGCGACCCCCAAAACATGGTTTGGGGATAGCACGGAGGGGACATGAAAGGCCTTGTGTAGTGTTGGACTTGATTTACAATCTTCTGAGGTGTGTGTAGTTTGACATTTTCAAGTTGTCCTGTGCCGCTACTAGTACCATACCCCAATTTTCTTTGGATGTTTGATGAAGAAGCTGTATATCCATGCAGCTGCCATGCCTGACGCCCTGTCTCAGAAGTTGCCCGTCTTACCTTGTAACTCCTTAAGATAAATGTAAACAGAAACAGGAGAGAAAACCACGTGTGGCAGTGGTATAATATACTACACTAACACAAAATCAATCCTTATATGTTACAAAATTGTGATATTGGCAGTCACTGATATGTAAAAGAGAAAATAGAAACCAAGAGAGTTTTCCATTTATGCTAGACAAAGACTAGTGTATGTACTGAGTGCCTGACTTGGGCATGTCATATTGAGGGATCCCCCAGCTTGATTGATTTTAAAGAAATAATTACTCTGTCTGTTGATGGGGCATTAGAAGCCCTGAAACCAAGCTAACAATTAAATCTAGTGAAAACGTCTCCCACATACAATATAATGATAAATATCTCCCAGGAAATACCCTGACGTCACCTCCATGCACTCGTTGTCAACATTTAATTGATGAATTCTGACAGCAGTTTCTCTGAATTGTCCCATGGGACCTCTCTGACGTAACCATTCATATTGATCTGTATCATCATTCATCTTTCAGAAATATCATGACGTATAAAGGACAATTTCATGCTTGGCTGATCATGATGCTTTTATCAGAATTTTCATTCAGTAAATGCTAATAATAGGGTTTATAATTAAGTCATTCAGACCTCCCAATACAGTAGTGTTTAATGGAGTTCAGATACATACGACGAGCTGTAAAAACAAACCTACACCAATATAGCTTGGTAAACAATGAATTTTATTGTCATATAACAAGCATATTTTAGAGAGGTATATACACAAGGCTATTCCTACTGTGGTGTATGATGTTGAAGTGTATTGATTAAAATGTTATCAATTAATAAGTATTGTACTGACATGGTTATACTTTATCAGTTACCTATCCATCCACGAAGATTCCGCTTTTTAAAAAAGATGGCTGTGTTGGTCCTCGTATTTCTGATTTTCTCTAGTACTATTCAGACAGTTGAAAACAATTCTGTAGTAGACTCAAATTTTGATTTCAAAGTATTTGAACATTTCAATACTCATGACATATCAAAAAAGTGGTCACATAATTCCTTCATGACACTGTGAGACATCATCGAAATCATGTCTTCTTTTCTTTGTGATGACTTTGAGACTTGTATGACATAAGACACGGTGATATGTAGGAACTGACTGACAAAATATTTATCTAACAAATATTAAGTATCGAACATAGAATATTAATAATTTACTTTGTACCATAACTTTTATTAATTTGTTAAAGTGATGACATACTTAATAATAGGCTGGTTTGATCATTATCAACATATTTATTTCCATCATGCACAGAAAATGTTTCTTACTATGGGAGAACATAAACCTCTCCTGGATTTCTCAGTGTGTTGATGTGTATTTTATATATCACACGTGTTAATTTGACTCTCTGTTTGACTTGTTATTGTTTACTCTAAACCTATGTGTTAATTTGACTCTCTATTTGACTTGTTACTCTAAACTTATATATTAATTTGACTCTCTGTTTGACTTGTTACTGTTAACTCTAAACCTATGTGTTGATTTGACTCTCTATTTGACTTGTTACTCTAAACCTATATATTAATTTGACTCTCTGTTTGACTTGTTACTGGTAACTCTAAACCTATGTGTAAATTTGACTCTCTGTGTGACTTGTTGCTGTTTACTCTAAACCTACGTGTTGATTTGACTCTCTATTAGACTTGTCGCTGTTTACTCTAAACCCCCTACCTGCACTAATTACAGGTGCTGCAGTGTTGTTTCCATGGTGACCAGTTTATGTATTCCTTGGTTAGAACATTAACATTCTATAGACATTTGTAGTAAGGTTAATTACTGATGGTATTTGAAGTGGTTCCAGTATAATTACGGCTGTCCAGGGTATAGTTATCTCTAAACTCTGAATTTTTAAGATTATGAAAATTTAGTGAGGGAAAAGGGAAATTATTTTCTTACAACGTTACTCGACAAAGAAAACTTCTTGTTTGGTTATAAGCCATTTGTCTTTGCAAAAACAACAATGTAAATATTGATATTCCAACAAAATCTTAATTCGAAACTCTTAATTTGATGAGAGAAGTAATGGCAAAATACGAAAAAAAAAGAAAGATTTTCACAGAAACCCCCGAAAAAGTACAAGAATAAGACCAGGTGTTCTGGAAGAGTAAGCATCTTCTTCTTCATTTGAGACACATTTTATGTAAATCTTGGTCAATTCCAAGTAAGGAATGTCTCATTCAGAAATGAGAAAAAGGTTAATGACAACAGAACCAGATTGCCACTTTGTAGAAAACAGTGATATTTGACCCCAAGGAAATACATGATGTAACAACTGTTCTTTGTTTAGACAGGAAATCTGTGAAGAATATTTTTAGAAGTCTGTTGACTGAAGATTTATGTTATTTTTCTATATGTTACAGATCTGATCATTACATGCGACAAGGTACCAGATGGAACGTTTCAGAACAATGTAAGCAGTAGTCCTTCCAATGTCACCAGTACACAATCCAAATCAAGCAGCTCCCTACTGGGCTACCTACTGCCTCTGAGGAGCCGCAGTCACAAACAAACTAAGATGTAAGTAGTATCTAACATCACAGACAAACGAAAATAATTCCCCAACATCAGTCGCATATTACTTGGTCTCCTACATCAATAATTTATGTATTCATTATTCTTATACCCTAGAACATCTTCGTAATTTTTCCTATGTGATGGAAAACAACCTTTTCGACCTCCTTATCTGTCTTTCATTTACATGTATTAATTCATTGAAATAAAAAAAAACTTATTTGTAGGTCACTAAAAATTTTGTTAAATGTAAACAGATTTCACTTTAAAAATTGAAGAATTAAGACTATGTCACCTTTGTCATTTATCAATAATAATTTCACTATGATAATCCATATTAACAAAGACATTACAATGAAGTTAAAAATGTGTAGCACTCACTGTTTGGCTTTTAGTACAAGTACACTGTAGTGGTCACCTGCTGGTCAGTTTTTCTGACCAGTCTCTTGTTATAATGTACTGGACAGTGATGCAATCACACCATTTCCAGATATAAGGTATATTTTCCAAAGCAAAAATAATTTATAACAAATGAATTTTTCATATATCTCTATGTATAATCAACTACCCAGCTCAGTGGTGGGATGATTTGTCGTAAAATTTAAAATGTCAAAAGTTCAATTTGTAAGATAGACTGTTGATTATAGATAAAAAACGATGATTTATTTACATTCCACAGATTGGAAGATATGCGTAGTATTACTTCGCAGAGGTGTTCTATTCAGTTAAATTTTCCATTACTTTAAAACATAAAATACTTATTTGTCTTGGTTTCATAAAAGGAACATTCAGATGCATGACTTTGACCAAACACCACTCAGAATAGCTGTAACACAGTTACTGGTGGTACCGTAATAATACAAAGTGACTTATGTTTTGTGAAACACATGGCACGTACTTGCAGATAACAAACGTAGAATGTTTCCTTTCGTCTTTGTATTGTAAGGTTGTTGTAAGTTAATATAATGTTGTATTCCTTGACAAGATTTGATTAATTAGAGTTAATATGTTATGAATCATAGATACTGTATAGTTAGTAATATTTATGAGAATTCAATTTTGCTGCATTTGAAACCCACAAAATTAATTATCCACCATGTAGTGAATCAAAATATATCTGTTTTGTTTGTAATATTGCAATGATACTTCATGACCAAGCTTAAATCCGAACAACAATGAAATATTGTGTCTCGTGAAATTACACAACTATACAGTAATTATGTTGGTATCTGTTAATATTCTACTTCCTTGTATGTAATAATTCTTATAATCTATTCTACAATACTATCTATAGTGTTGAATGAAATCCTCATTAATGGTTAGGTAAAGAAGAAATAAAGCCTACGTTTCTTACTGGTGTATATAATGGCACGTATACATTATCTTTATTTCTCCTCTGATTCATTCAATGTCAACTTTTCACAGCAATCTATATAATCAAGATATTAATCAAATCAATCAGAGTCTATATGCTGTAAATTTTATTTTAATGAGAGGTTTGCAGTTATTTCCTTTCAGCCAAAATTGTTAAGCAGACCATATTTATCACAGTTGTCCAAAAATTTAAAATCTAAAATAATGATCAAGGCAAAATTTCAGTTTTTACAGTCAGGCAGAAGCATGATAAAAAAGTAGCCGGAAATACATGAAACTCCACGACACAGAAAAGGAAAAATTTCCATAACATAAATAGTTTTTTTTATAAGGACAACTTGTCACTCTCGCTTGACAATTATTTACCTTTACTTTTCAGTACAAAATTGGAAAAAAAAAACAGAAAAAAAAATTAAAAAGTTAGAAAGAAATTTTAATGTCAATGATTTATTTCTAGTCAGACAAAAATTGTAATGTCGTCACAAGGGAGGCGATCAAGCTTTCCCTCCAGGTAACTATGGTAACGCTTTCAGTTTGATTTAGTCGCCTAACCCTATAGGCCAGGTAACTGCTTCACTGTTTTCATAGTCACTGTACATGTGTTTCCCACTTCGACAAGCATGAACATCAGGTGTGCCACACTGATCTGTTTCCCTATAGTAATATTTTACCTTTCATCATGATATGGATTTTTTCCAGTAACCTTGGCAACCACCATTTGTTTTGGCCCTGTTTATAGAGAAAATAGTGAAGATGTCAACAATTTTGAGAGATAGGGTTTTCTAAAGTGTTCTATTTTTTGGAAAGAATTCTAGAAATAATGGTATGCTGAAGATATTTTCAAAAACTTATTTTGATAAAAGTTATTGAAAATTTGAGAGTTTTATACATGGTTTGATCAGCTTTGTTTTTTGTAAGTGAAAAAAACCAATGAATAAATTCAAATTGATTTCTATGACCTACAGACCTGCATAAGTCACAAAATCAATTAAATATAATGGTGAAACTGTTAGATGATTTTTGATATACTAGACAAGGTATTTCATACAAAACTTTCATTCTGATAGTTAGTGTTTCTGTTTAGATGATATCTAGACCAGTTTTTGCCCTTTGAGATTTAATTTGGGAACTTAATTCAGAGAAGTCTGACGACCAGAGTTAATAGTATATCCAAACAATCCCATCCTCGATACTACAGGTGTTAAGATCACTTTCTCTCTCTACCCCCTGGAACCATCCTCAATACTCCAGTGGTTACAATCACTTTCTCTGTCTGTACCTGTGTGGAAAATATGAAAAAATATTTTTAAAAAAAACAGATGTCCTGTTAATTACTCTGTTATACATGTATTAGTTTTGAGAATCTTTAATGTAAGTTTCTCAAGTTTCCTCCTAAGCCATATTGATAATAGTCTGCCTGTTATATTCTTGTACCATATACCAATAAATGTTTGTAAAATTATCCCTATTTGCTTAAACTGCCTTAAAACTATTTATAGCTAAATGTTCTGTGTAAGGAATCAGTTTTCAACAAATCCACAGAAATTGCAGTAGCTTATGATAGTTACTAATTTCACAGAAATATCAGACAAAATTGAACATATGCAAATGTAAATCTTCAATTTAAGTTCAGTTAGAAAATATTTCTTTTGCTGAGTAATTTCATTTGATGGGTAGTTTTTCTGTAGAATATATATGCCTTCATTATTTTGATTTAAAAAAGTTAAGTCTATTCGTTGGCTATAATTTCACGCATTGGCTAATTCCACTCATTGGCTAAATCCATTAATTGGCTCGGTCAATTCATTGGCTAATTCCACTAATTGGCTAAATCCATTAATTGGCTCAGTCAATTCATTGGCTAATTCCACTCATTGGCTAAATCCATTAATTGGCTCGGTCAATTCATTGGCTAATTCCACTAATTGGCTAAATCCATTAATTGGCTCAGTCAATTCATTGGCTAATTCCACTCATTGGCTAAATCCATTAATTGGCTCAGTCAATTCATTGGCTAATTCCACTCATTGGCTAAATCCATTAATTGGCTCAGTCAATTCATTGGCTAATTCCACTAATTGGCTAAATCCATTAATTGGCTCAGTCAATTCATTGGCTAATTCCACTCATTGGCTAAATCCATTAATTGGCTCAGTCAATTCATTGGCTAATTCCACTCATTGGCTAAATCCATTAATTGGCTCAGTCAATTCATTGGCTAATTCCACTAATTGGCTAAATCCATTAATTGGCTCAGTCAATTCATTGGCTAATTCCACTCATTGGCTAAGTCAATTAATTTGCTTAAAATGTCTATTCATTGGTTAAATCCATATTCCTTTAGCTCATGCTTTTAATTTGTATAATTCAATATTTTGCCATGCTTATTTTCCAACAAAGTGCTATACTATATACCCAAGAGATACCTTTAATATTATAAACAGAAATTTCAGGAGCAGTGTTAATAAGACAGCTGGCTTAAATCATCATTATGTCCACTCATTGATTTACTTCATATATTCATCAAAGATATTAATTCTTTCTTGAATTCATACTGAACTAAAATTGTACTAAATGTTGAAATTAATAAATAAAGATAAAGAAAAAATCATTTTCTAGTGAGAAAATCAGACTAGTTTTTTCATTAAAGTCATTTCATTAGTTTGAATTGAGCTTTTTTTCAGTTTTTATTTGACAAAAAGTCTTTTCTGTTTAACAGTTTTGTTTTTGCAGTGTTGTGATGTTTTCTTTCCAATTTAAGAACATTTTGTTTGTAGTTGTATTTTTTAAGAATTTTTAATCAATTTGATTTACAGTAGTGAAATATGTTTTTCATATCTTGGCAAATTTGTTGATTAGGCAAATTAGCTCAATTGTAATTTTTAAACGAACATTAATGTTTGTTTGTAAGAATCCAGAATATCTTTAACTACAATTACCATATAAGGTAGTCTTTTTCACATATAGGACATCTACTATATACAATCCAAGGCCCACAATCCAATATGGCTTGTTTGTGTCTACTGGTTTGGGGGTGGGGGGTTGATTATAGAATAATTATCTTTTGAAACACTTACTGTACTGCAATGTATGTTAATCAACCATTCAGAAATCACAGGTTTCAATTTGATCTTCATAAAATTGGACAACATTATGAAACAAGTCAGTAAGAGCACAGTTCTACTTGTGTACTTGCGGAAGTTAACGCTGACATATCTGAGTGCAGATCGAGACTTAATATGATTACTGTTTGTGAAACTCTTTACAAATTTTACAGTAATTGAAATAGTTTTGAATGATTATCTTATCAAAATATGATGCTAATTTAGTGACAGGTATGTGAATAATATGACGCATTTACTTACTATGGTTATTTACAACCTGCTAACAACAGCGTTTAACCAAGATGTGAATCGTGATCACATGGTGTGATAAATATTTCCACACCAATGCCTTTATCAAAGATAAAACTGAGGTCTCATGATATGTTCGAACAATTTGAAATGTAAGTGAAACAAACTAGAAAGGGTCCAAACCATTGTTAGACAAAAAATCATTGTTTTTATTGAAAAAAAATCTCATTTTGGAACTATCCGGCCTATTCAAACTGACTAGAGGTTTAGCGTAATATTATTTTTCTGGTGTTCATATAAAAAAGATAATGTTTACCTGTAAATGCTGAAAAAGATATTAATACTTTGAAAATAATTGAACTTGCAACAGCTAGGTTACTTAATTATCATATCTTTTTGAAAAAGATTGTATGATTTAATTCAGTTTTGTATTATACCTGCTTGGTTCTTTTAATATTTGTGATCAAGCCTGCAGTTCGCTTGCCCCTGATGTTCAGTGCTGGGTCAAAGTGTTTTCATCACACTGTTATATAATCTTACATATCCTATCTGTAACTTCCTCTTCTGATGTTCGACACTCACATCATAATTCTTAAAGAAACAAAATTGTTAATTGTGATTAAACTGCATCAATATTTTATATTTGTATTTCAAGCGGTATTGCAGTGATGTATGTCCTTTTTCAGGGGGTGCATATAACCACTGTCATGTTTGATTTGGGTATTCATAAATTTGTTTTAAAATAACCCTTTTAAGGTCTTAAGATACATTTAAAGAAATAAAAATAGATCTTTTTATTCAGGTCATATTGTTTTGTTGTGCTACTGATATACAGAAGAGGAAGTTTTAATTGGCAGAATTCTGAACGGCTCTGTTCTGAAGGAAGAAAAGGGGGAATAACTCTGGGTTTCAGCTGTATACTCACTCTAATAAAATAACAATTCTGGAGGCGCAGTGTTTAAAATTGATAGCATTAACAAGTTTTTCATCTTTAACTCCTAATAAAAAAAGTTAATTTTGAATTATATTTAATTCTGAAAATCATGTTCATTTTGAAGATAATATAAAACTCAACACTTTAAAAATTATGACAACAAATTAAGCATTCATATGAACAGAAATTAAGCTGAGTTTCTGAAGCATGTATATATGGGATTGCAACTTGAACTCTCCTGTCTATTATAATAGGCTGTCCTATTGTGATTGGTAGGGGTGAAGAATTCTCTTTGTGTTTAGCTAACTTAGTGTATGCTGGGATGAAGAATATCCTCTTACTATGTGTATGATGAGAACAAGGGTCCAATATTGCTAGTTGTTTGTTTCGTAGATTAGAGACAAGAATATATTTTCAAGAATGAATATTTAAAGAGATATAGGCTTTTTGGTAATTTTAATTGGTTATTTAAGTAAATCAGTAGAATCGCTAACATATAATTTTAATGTGTAGTGTAGCTTTGTGAGTCTGTGAAATTTACTTGTTGTCCTGGATGGAAAGCTATGCTTGAAGAATTGTCTGTTTCATCTTAGAAGAATTATGGATGTAATACTTAGATTCAACTTCAATCTAGACTTAAATGCATTGCGATATCTTGTGTACGTACAAAAATGAAAATATTAAATGCTGTATTTGCCATATTCAAATTTGACTCTTCATCATTTTTCTATATTTTAAGGGAATATTTCATATGATGGACAATATTTGACGATCAACCAATATCTTTCAGTGGAAAATTATTGATATTTGAGGTTTTTGATATTCGAAATATAAATTAAATACAAAAGGTCACACAATCAGGGTCAACTTAGTCCTTCTGTCTGTCTGCATTTGTGGAATTTTCAATTATATCCTGCACCCTGTATTATTGATCAAGTTTATATTCTACTTCACAATTGTTTTCAGAAGTCACCTTCCCCTAACAACTTTCTAACTTTGTACTTTCTTTTAAACACACATCAGAAAACATATTCTTCACTTTTAGTTGTATCAAATACAACTTTTGCTGTAAAGTTGACTTAGATTTAGCTTGATTTAACATTTTCTCCCTGCAATTTTGTATATCCACTGTACAGATAAACTACACTTTAAATACATACAGTTGTTGGTTGGTTTTGTTTTGTGAATAACAGCCATTGTCAAAGAGACACAAATGTGAAGAAGGATGCGAAGACAAAGCTTATATCGTAAGATTCTCAGGGCTGCAATGGAGACAAAGTAGATTTATTTTGGTCCCTTCAATGTCCCTGAGTGGAAGACAGAGAAGAAAAATCCCCAATTGTGTGTATGTGGGGAGGAGGTGGGGGCACTTTGTTACCTTCTGCAATGTGAAAACATGTAGTGGGGTTCTCCAGTACAACCTATCAGACTTCAGTGTTGTCACTTTCTGCTTGATGTCCAGCTTTGAGTGAACAGAAACTATTCATTAGCATTAATAATGTGACCGAGTCTAGGAATGAACTGTCATGTCACCTAGTCCAAATGATGATATCCAGTATGACAGCACTATAATATTGGCCTTGTGTAGCCCCATCATCCATGGATTTATCCTTCAGATGACCTTAGCTGTTGCAAGGCTTTAAAACCCAAAACCAAACCAATCAACACAAAAAATCTGTTAAGTCACGACAGGGAATGCACACGCAAACAAATATAGACTGGTGTAGCTGATGTGTATGTCTCTTAAAGAAATTTGTTTTCCTGGGGGTAGCTTCACAGAAATTACCAAGAAATTCAATAACAGTATTGTTTTTAGAAGTATTCACAGAAGCGCTGACAATAGCTCTCTCGGTAAGTGAATTGTTATTGGAAGGTGTATCAGGAGACAGCTGACAGTAAATCTTAAGAGGATTGGTATACCTTATCTAGTCTTGTAAACACCCCACACCTGTTGAGAACTATAAATGAAGAAGAACTTTCAGTAGGAATAGATGTAGTATTTCAAAAAAACATTTTACAGGGCAATAAGCCCAGGAGTAAATACAGCATCTGTTATATAGTTAGAAACATGAAGTATCATAGCACTTCAACACTTCTGCAGGGAACCATCATATCATGCTTAATTTGATACAGTGAGAAGATGCGCTTATTTCAAAACAAAAACACCAAGGAACCAGTTTACAAAACAAAAGTGGGCTTATTGCAGGACAATAAGTCCAGAGAACCAATTTACAACAAATGACTTTAACTAACTAAGGTTTATTAAAGAAAAATAAGGTCAAGGTCACCACTTATAATAAAGACTTGAAGGATTGCCTTATTTCATGACAATAAGCCCTGAGATAAAATAGAAATAAGCCCCAAGGCTAATTTCACCTGTACTGTTTATGCGAAAGTAGTTGTAGGTAATTCTACAGGTCATACAACAATACCTTTTAGTGCTACTAGGCCTGGGCTTATCTCAGGATACCTAAGGTATGTGTATATAATACACTTCCTACGATTACAAGTTTTTCCATTCATGTAACTGGAGGAAATGTGATCAGGTCACATGACCCATGTGTTGTTCGATGGGGATGATTACTCCGAAACATATGTGCCTGTGTGGATCGGAGAAAATCAATCGCTTTCAAGAAATAATGATGTTATTAATCAGACGTGCTATAGTGTTCTAGTGATAAGTTAAGCGGCAATATAGCAGACGTCTGGTTCAGCGAGTCAGGTACATCAAATATTCAGGATAAATTTTGTTGATAACAAAGTTCTTTTGGTTCAAGATAAACAAAAGTTACATCAAAGACAAAAATCTGTATATATATATATATTTTCTATAGTCTTTACTGTTTAACTGAAAAATCAATTTGTTACTTTAAAATTTTACAATGTAAAATAAAAATATGTGGAAATATGGACTGATTGGATTCTTAACTCTGATGTAACATTGATATCAAATATTTAAGACTTTATGCACTAAATGTATTTGATTTCAGCAGGACACTATGTTGGTTAAAATTCTGAATACATCAGACTTTCCTTAAGGTTTAATGAAAATTAAGATTGATGAGATTTTTTTTCCCCTATCAAATTTTCTGATAGCAAGTTTTGTGAGTGGATCTGGGTGTTTGTTGTAGGTGAATCACAGTGTGAGTCAGGCTGCCATGATATCACACAGGGTTAGAATTTGTCTGGGAGAAGAAACTCATTGATTAATGTCTTGTTTCTGATTTTTTTTCCCCTAAATCATTAAAAAATCCTTCATGATTCACATTATTCTGTTGTGAAAGGCTTCTTCTGTGTTGTCAGGTACTTGGACATCTACTCTTCTTATTTGTAGTGGGTTTTTTTCAGTTTTGGAGACTGAAATTAAGTTAACATGAAAAATTCTTAATATAATTCTACTTTAAATTTTATGTTAGGTTAATTAAGAAATTGGTTTTCAAATTCATGATTTAAACAATATTATGTTTTATGGTTCGTACAAAGTTAATCATCTTTGTTTACTAAACATGAGTTTACCACACTGTCTATGTAAAAGGCTTTGGCTATGCAATTCTGATGATGTTGACTTTTTTACTCATTTTTCATCAGATTGTTGTTTAGAAAGTGTGCATAATATTCTTTTCTTTTTTCTGATTTTAGGAAAAAGTCAGATGCCAGTAAAATCCCAGCGTTAAAGGGCCTTCAAAAGAAAGGCACATCTAAAAGTCCCAGTATGCCAAAAAAACACCCGCTAACCCCGTCCCAAGAGGCTGTGAGTGCAGCCACAACCAAACCAAGAGCGGGATCTAATCTAGGGGTGCCGTATTCTGATGACCAGCAACAGATGCTGCGAAGCAGTACTGAGGATCTAGACAGTGTAAGTGCTTGCTAAGTCAGCTCTCGTGATTTTGTTTTGTTTTTTATCCTGATTAGGAAATGTTCACATGCAATAAAGCAATTGTCAAGTTAATATAATTTTAGGTCACCTGAGACAAAGCCAAAGGTGCACTAAATTTGTAAATTATATGGTCCCCAACCCCCAGGGGCCTGAGGGGCGGGGCCAAAAAGGGTCAAACTGATTGAAACTTCAAAAATCTTCTTCTCATATTCCATGTATGGTAGAATCAAGTACTCTCTTCATGGATGGAAAGGCCTTCAAACGTTTTACCAAAGTTGTAAATTTCATGACTCCAGAGTCTCACATTTCCCCAAGGGGAGGGGGTAAAATTTACTACAAGAAAATTATATTTTTGAGCATAGTTTGTTAGGTTATCTAACTCAAAGGGTCAATCAAGATGACCTATTGCTATCATGCATTGGCTGTCGTTGTGCACCATCTGCCGTCCGTAAACTTTTGCTTAAAACACTACTCCTGCTTAACGCCTGACCGGATTTCAACCAAATTTGGTCTGAAACATTGTTTGAGGTGGAGGATTGTTTATTAAATCAGAAATTTTATTCCACCTTTAGGGACCTGGGATGAGGTCCCAAAATGGTAGTTAGACAATACTTCGCTTCAAAAAGCTACTCTTCCTTAATGCTTGAATGGAGTTCATTCACATTTTGGCTGTACTATCAGATTGGGTTGGTAAATAATCCCAAAATTCAGAAAGTTGATGCAACCCTGAGGGACTGGGGGGGAGGGGTCTCAAAAAAGGAAACTAAACAATATTTTGCTTTAAAACACTATTCTTTCTTAATGCTTAAATGGATTTCATTCAAATTTTTGGCTGTAACATCAGTAAGGGATGGTAAATAATTCTTAAATTCAAAAAGTTGATTTGGCCCCTAGGGACTTGGGTCAAGGCCCCAGAAGGGGAATTTAAATAATATTTTGTTCAAATCGCTACTTTTTCTTAAGACTTTGTTGGATTTTAACCATATTTGGTCTAAAACGTCAATGAGAGTGGGAAATCATTTCTTAGATTCAGAAAGTTGATTCAATCCTAGGGACTTGAGGATGAGGCCCTAAATTGGGGAGTTAAACAATATTTTGCGTCAAAATTAAGGCTGTAATGAATTTAAACCAAATGTGGTACAAAACATGATTGTGGGTGGAGAATTTGTTCTTAAATACAGAAAGTTGATTTGACCCCTAGGGATTTGGGGGCAGGGCTCAAGAAGGGGAAATTAGAAATATTTTGTTCAAATGCTACTCCTTCTTAATGCCTTGATTGGTAGATTTCAACCAGATTTGGCCTGAAACATTATCAAGGAGTGGCAAACATGCATGAAGTGATCCTGAGATTGTCCTGACCAAAACTTATTTTACACTTTGGTCCAAAATCCAAAATAACTCGTCTAGAACAAATAGTCTAAACTTCTCATGTTTCATTCACACCAATGAAAAAAATATTTAACAGTGGTTATTTTGTAAAATGATGGTGCAGCTGATTTTCATGAATAGAACCTACCACTTATTAGTTTCTGATACTTTCAAGGAATGTTCAAAATGTGAATTCATCAGATTTGTCAGACCATCATCAGCGAATTCTGTGGTTTGTCCATCCATTTGTCGATAGTCAGATGACTGTTGAGGGCCATGGCCCTCTTGTTCTTTGAAGTTTCGCCACAAAAACTTCTAGCATTTCAAAGATTAGAAAGTTTGGGAGAAAAAGTAATAATGATGATAAAAAAGAATCTAGTCACATCTGTGCAGTATAGACATATTTATGCAAGATAATTATAACGTTCAGCATAAAGCTTTGCCAAGTGCCAAACTTTAAAATCTTAACCTCTGTTTAAGATATTTTTTCTATATCAAACTGGTGATAAGATGGTAAGAATCCCTCTTAAAAACAAGATTGATTAAATAGTGAGTGAAAAAGAACCTTTCATGCAGCAAAATCATGGAATGTTACAGTTTTTGAAAGGTAAACGGTTTTTATTTTCGTAGAGGTAATTCGAAGATTACAGATTTTGGTCTTGTGAAAATTTTTGAAGAGTACAAATTTGATTTTGTGAAAATTGAGTTATATCTATTTTTTATTGATTTAGGTGGAGGTGAGCAGTCGTGAAAATGGGAGTAGCGGGGAAGGAGGGCTGGACGAGATGGATGGCCCAACGCCCACAGATACTCATACCCATGACCCCCTCAGGACCAAAACTGCCATTGAACAAACTCAGGCAAAAATTCGCAGAACCATGGAGATGATAAAGGCTGAACAAGCTGCCAAAGAAGGTGGAGATAACTCTTGTTACACTTTTATGTATTGTTATATATGTACAGATAATATCATCCTCAAAGTCCATAAAGGCAGTGAAAATTCTCTGTCCTGAAAGTTCAGTGTCTGTATAACAGCGTTGTCAGCAGAACTTTCTCATCCTTGAAGTTCAGTCATTGTTCATTGCACGGACAATATATGTGATTTAAACGTGACTTTTCAGTAATTATTGATTCTCGTTATCTTCTCACCGAAACTTTCAGGTGCCGTTTTTGTTTTTAATTTGTCAATACCTAGCATGAACATGATACTGTGAAAATTGCTTTTCAATGAAATAAGGAAGTGAGTTAATAAGTACAGTATTTATTGTCTTCTCTCCGCAGAAAATGTCAACGAATACCTAAAACTTGCCGCCAGTACTAGTGCTGATAAACAACAGTTACAACGGATTAAAACAATGTTTGAGAAAAAAAATCAGAAATCCACACAGACGATTAGTCATCTCCAGAAAAAACTGGAGAATTATCATAAACGTTTAAGCGATATAGAAACTTACGGTGTGTCTGGACATAAACAAGCTAGAGAAGTGTTACGGGATATGGGTCAGGGACTCAAGTAAGTACCATTATCAACATGTTAACTTCACGCTATAGGTTTTTACGTCTGTGTGCTGCATTCGATATTTTCCTGAATGAGATCACATCACAAGAGGTTTTGGCTTGATATCTAATTATGACCACATGACATTTGAATCAAATCACATGACATTCAAATCCTATCACATGACTTTCGAATCAAATCATATGACATTTGTGTCTAAAACATCACATGATATCTGTCTGAATTCACTTTTTAACTGATTCAGATGTAGACTAGTGCTTGTCCACCTTTCTTATAGGATATATGTTTGAACCGTTTGTGACTCTAAGCGATGATTCAGATATAGACCTTTGTCCTTCCTCTTTGTTGTCATTTTCTCATTTTTGAAGGTGTAGACATAGACTTAATTTTATTGAAGAGTTAGACAAGGCTCTACCATACTCTTCCTTCAGCTTTAGAATTGCATGTTTACAACACAAGTAGGCTTTAAACCTAGATGGTAGATTTACAGGTACTGAGTATGACAACACAAGTAGACTTTAAACCTAGATGGTAGATTTACAGGTACTGAGTATGACAACACAAGTAGGCTTTAAACCTAGATGGTAGATTTACAGGTACTGAGTATGACAACACAAGTAGACTTTAAACCTAGATGGTAGATTTACAGGTACTGAGTATGACAACACAAGTAGGCTTTAAACCTAGATGGTAGATTTACAGGTACTGAGTATGACAACACAAGTAGGCTTTAAACCTAGATGGTAGATTTACAGGTACTGAGTATGACAACACAAGTAGGCTTTAAACCTAGATGGTAGATTTACAGGTACTGAGTATGACAACACAAGTAGGCTTTAAACCTAGATGGTAGATTTACAGGTACTGAGTATGACAACACAAGTAGACTTTAAACCTAGATGGTAGATTTACAGGTACTGAGTATGACAACACAAGTAGACTTTAAACCTAGATGGTGGTAGATTTACAGGTACTGAGTATGACAACACAAGTAGGCTTTAAACCTAGATGGTAGATTTACAGGTACTGAGTAGGAACACAAGTAGGCTTTAAACCTAGATGGTAGATTTACAGGTACTGAGTAGGAACACAAGTAGGCTTTAAACCTAGATGGTAGATTTACAGGTACTGAGTATGACAACACAAGTAGGCTTTAAACCTAGATGGTAGATTTACAGGTACTGAGTATAACAACACAAGTAGGCTTTAAACCTAGATGGTAGATTTACAGGTACTAAGTTTGATATTTCACTTTTACAGACCTTTACTGTGGCGGTCTGTATGGAAAAAATATGGCTCTAGGTCTAGCTGGTGAGAACAACACATTCTCATAAACAGGATCTTGTTAGGCATGTTTAGGGAATGTTAACCTCACACTCGTTGTGTGTGGAAATAGAAGGTGGAGGTTTAAAGAATTTGAGTTTTGTTTACTCCTCTTTGTTATTTGTTTGATACACTCGAGTAGAGTACAATTCTTTATAAAATTCCTTAACAAAGTTTTTAGTGGGTGAAATATTTGTATTCTTATGTGAATTTTGACTGAATGGATTTGTTAATCCATGAAATGTAATGTAACTTTCAATATAATCTTTGATTAATTGAAAATCAAGAAAAAGAGAGTGCAATAAAAATATTCATTTTACGGACAAAAAATGAATATATATAAAATCGTGTTACTCTGTGGAGACAGGAATTTTTTTTTATCTCAGATATGTAAAATGATTAATCAATATCTGTAGTTTATCGTTCATGACCGATGTTCAGTAGAAGATAGGACATTTTGTTTTGGTCAAATGTAGCTGATTCCATTAGAGTTCCTGAATGCTAAATTTTCATTCTTTTGTTGAAGTCGAGACCTTTTGATTCTGTTTTGTAATTGTCATAATTCCTGGTTCTGTAGCTACAGGTTTGAAGTTCAAACTTATGTAGAGGTCATAATGACCTTTGATCTTTTGGGGTCAAAATATTCAAGTAAATATTGCATGACCTTTCTTCACAGGGGTGTCGGTGCTAACATTGTAGATGGTATCACAGGGTTTTCGGGGTAAGTCGAGGTGATGTTCCTGCTTCTTCTATGTTCATCAACTGCTTGAAGCTTCATCGCCTTGAAGCCCCAGTCAAACATACACATTCTGATCCAAGTTCTTAGCTACATTCTAACAAAGTTAGCCATGTTTTAATTAGAATGGAAACAATAGATCATACTAACAGCTGGGTGCAAGACTGTTATGTTCTACTGTGACTGGGCTTCATCCGTGATGACATGGGGAAATCAGTGTTGTTGTACTAAAAGTGAAGGTGGCTCAAATGTGGTTTAATGTGGCATTGGTACATTTGTCCAAGTCTATTCCATGATGTGCCATAATGTACCCAACGACCTCTCAAATGTGGTTTAATGTGGCATTAGTACATTTGTCCAAGTCTAAGCCACGATGTACCATAATGTACCCAACGACCTCTCAAATGTGGTTTAATGTGGCATTAGTACATTTGTCCAAGTCTAAGCCACGATGTACCATAATGTACCCAACGACCTCTCAAATGTGGTTTAATGTGGCCATATTACATTTGTCCAAGTCTATTCTATGATGTGCCATAATGTACACAATGACCCCTCAAATGTGGCTGAATGTGGCATTAGTACATTTGTTTAAGTCTAAACCACAATGTGCCATAATGTACTTAACGACCTCACAAATGTGGTAGAATGTGGCATTAGTTCATTTGTCCAAGTCCATGCCACGATGTGCCGTAATGTACTCAACAACCTCTCAAATGTGATTTAATATTATGTCCAAGTCTATGCCATGATTTACGTCTATATAATCAACAACCCTCCATACCTGCCAAGTTTTGATGTGATCACTGTTAAGCCGACACATTGTTGCTATGTTCTCAATTACCTTGTTGTGACGTTTGCTGAGGTCCAGATCAAGCCGAGAGAAATGTAGTTTTTGGTAACACACTCTCCAAAGATTCCCCACAACCTCACATTATCAGCGTCATATTCTTACAACCAGTGTGATCTATATCATCAAAAAATACACTGTCATATAGACCACCAGTGTGATCTATATCATCAAAAAATACGCTGTCATATAGACCACCAGTGTGATCTATATCATCAAAAAATACGCTGTCATATAGACCACCAGTGTGATCTATATCATCAAAAAATACGCTGTCATATAGACCACCAGTGTGATCTATATCATCAAAAAATACGCTGTCATATAGACCACCAGTGTGATCTATATCATCAAAAAATATGCTGTCATATAGACCACCAGTGTGATCTATATCATCAAAAAATACGCTGTCATATAGACCACCAGTGTGATCTATATCATCAAAAAATACGCTGTCATATAGACCACCAGTGTGATATATATCATCAAAAGATACACTGTCATATAGACCTACAGTGTGATCTATATCACAACCTCATATTATCAGCGTCATATTCTTACAACCAGTGTGATCTATATCATCAAAAAATACACTGTCATATAGACCACCAGTGTGATCTATATCATCAAAAAGTACACTGTCATATAGACCACCAGTGTGATCTATATCATCAAAAGATACGCTGTCATATAGACCACCAGTGTGATCTATATCATCAAAAAATACGCTGTCATATAGACCACCAGTGTGATCTATATCATCAAAAGCTACGCTGTCATATAGACCACCAGTGTGATCTATATCATCAAAAAATATGCTGTCATATAGACCGCCAGTGTGATCTATATCATCAAAAAATACGCTGTCATATAGACCACCAGTGTGATCTATATCATCAAAAGATACACTGTCATATAGACCACCAGTGTGATCTATATCATCAGTGTGATCTATATCATCAAAAGACACGCTGTCATATAGACCACCAGTGTGATCTATATCATCAAAAAATACACTGTCATATAGACCACCAGTGTGATCTATATCATCAAAAAATACGCTGTCATATAGACCACCAGTGTGATCTATATCATCAAAAGATAAGCTGTCATATAGGCACATTCTGAAAGTGTCAGCTTCAAGCAGTTGAGTGTAAATGTAGTGACAATACAACTATCACCTTCACTTAACGTTCCCCTATGAATGTTCTGCTAGAATGTAGCAGGTCAATTCCCAGAATGTGTATGTGTGACTGCGGCTCATTGTTGTCCCCATGGTTACTTTTGTGATTGTCCTTTTCATTTTGTATTTTAATTTCTGAAAAATATAACATTGTTAGGTTTAACTTCTATAATGGCTAATATATTTTTTTTTTTTTTTTTTAGTCTCTGATATTTTTTTTGAGTCACAATATTTGCCATATGGGTTTTAATCGTTGTACACAAGATTACTCCAGAATTCATTGATGAATTTTTTTTTATTTGTGAGCCAGAGTACAAACTGGTGTTACCTTTGTTTCCAATGTTTCACCTTTGATATAAAATTTTGAATGACCGCCTGCTTTTATTTGCGTGATGTATGTAAATTCTATGAAACACTTCACTGCATATCAGTTTGAAACCAGTTTCTTCCAAACAATCTATATTTCATATTGGCATATTGGCTCTTTTATCTAGTTTAATTTGAAAGTTCTTGCAGCAGCACATTTTAAGACTGGTATTGTTTTGAGGTTAAGTCATATTAACGGTCAAAACATCTACAGATCAGATAAACAGAATTTGTGTACGGTCATGTTTTGAGGTCGTGAAGAGGAAGGTTTATTTGTTTACATGTTATCATTCTCACTTCTTCACTTCTTCTTATGGAAAATAATACTAAGGTCAAGCAACATGATCCCATGGGTACCAAGATTAAGGTCACTGTTACTATTTATAGAAATTTCTAATTATAATCATGCTAATTAGCATGGAAATGTGGATGTTTATATCCAACTAATATTTATTAGTCTCTTCTGATGTTCTATGTGACCAATTTTTTTATATTTTACTTTTTTTGTTAATTTCATTGTTAAAGATTTAAATCTTTATCCTCTATATTTTCCAGGGGCGTGGTGGACAATATCAAAGGTGCCAAAGAGTAAGTGCAATAGAGAGGAACTTACTTATGATATCAGATATTATGATAAACACATATTTCACTATTTTGTTTTTTCCACATGCCTAATTTTTCAAGATATAATTAAGTAAGAAGAAATATCTATTATGATATAGTCTAGAATCTACTCAAAATTGTGAAATGTAACTGGAAATATTGGTTATGTTAGTTAACTCTCTATTTTTGAAATAATCAGACAGTCATTTTTTGCATGTGTGTTATTTTTTTTTGCCTAAACAACTTGTAAACAAATCTTTTAAAAAACACGTTTTGGTTTATCATTATTTTTATAATGCCTAAAACTTAATTTTAAACACTTATTTAAAATCTCTTCATTATACCTGAAAAAGCCTCTTCTTTTACCAAAGGGGGAAAAAGAAGAGAAAAAAAAAGCTCTTTGGCTATTTGCTGACTTTATAAATAAAACCTAAAAAATATAAATAAAACCTAAAAAAACAAACAGGGTACTATTATCTACATAGTACCATAGAACAAACTATGAATTATGAAAAGTCTTCACATCAAGTGGATGTCATTTCAATTATCCTGACACATCAAGTTTGTTTACACATGTATGTAAAGCTAGAATTTGATAATGATTTATTTGTTTATTATTGAAAAGTTATAGAATACGTTTGTGGTTTCTGTTTTTTCACAAATAACTTACATGATTTTTTATTTGTTTTGTTTTTCTTTGTAGTACTATTGTGTCAAAACCCAAGGAATTTGCTCACCTCATCAAGAACAAATTTGGAAGTGCTGGCGACATCAGTGAACTCAGTAAGTTACTCTGATATTAAAAGGATTACATAGTTCAGTAGTCTATAAAACATTGTTGTGAAATCTTGAAGTATAAAAAGTGTGCAAAAATAACGATGCTCTGATCATATTTTTTAATATGCCGTATGTTATGGTGTCCATCTGTCATAGCTGAAAAGTCCTGCCGTTTGTTCAACTGCTTGTCATTGTTCTATTTGGATTCTTTTAAAGTGTACCCTGAGAGGTCAGCTATGTTGACCTTGAAAAATAGTTATGCACATAAAATACACTATGCCGAAAACGTGAATGCCGTGGAATGTTCCGTTACTGAGAAATTGCGACTTTTCTGAAAAACACACCTTTGGCTGAGAGGCGTTGACCTCGTTTTCGGGCACCCAAACCTGTGACGTCATAAGTTCAACGCTTTTGTTGATGCAGCCATATTGTCTTTACTGTGCTACATGTGATTGTGATCTATTTTGGGATTTTCCGTGGTAATTTCTTTGTTTATTTACGTGAAAGTACTTCACATCTTCGCAATATCTAAGGTAGTGAACGAGGGGTCGGTGAATTAGCGCTTAAATCCGCTAAAATGGCTTCCTATCGAGGAGGGAAGCGGTGTGTATGGTTGTCCTAACACTAACACGGATGGGGTGTCGATGCATGACGTCGATAAATAAAACTGATTGTTGATTAAATAAAAGTATATTTGTTAGGTTGATATTTTGTTATTAATTCTACAACTAAACATTTTAAATTGATAGGCTAGCCTATGACTTGGGCGGTCATAGGAATATTATTCCTTCGTAATCGTGAACGCCTAATACTCGGAGAAGGCCTAGTCGTGAATGGGTCACGGGAATTTTCACCCCAAGAATTTTCATACTACTATTATATAGTATAGAATAGAATTATTAGAATTTATAGAATAGGTTATGTGTGTATGTTGTTTGTATAAGGTGTATTTGGTTTTTAGATCTTCCAGCAGACAATGTTGTTTAGTTATTAATTTTGCTATCGTAAAAATAACAATAAGATCACCAATCTTGATTTGAAAACACAGTTCACAGTGTAGAGATGTCATCTAAACTCATAATCACACCTGTGCCAGGTTAGGTAATTAGCACCTCTGTGGCTGGAAAAAACAATTGTGACACCTGTGAGGCGACACGCCTGTCGGCAAACAACAGATGCGTACCAGTGCTAGGGTAAAAACCAGTCAAATAATTGTTTAAACTTCGAAAACATCAAATTTTTATTATTAACACAGCGGAGGGTGTTATAATTGGTTGTTGACACCCTATCTATATGTATCCATAGTGCTATGAAAATTCCCTGGAAAGAAAAATTTCCCTCGGACGAAACTTTTTTCGGTAAGAAAATTCCCGACACCTCGTGAATGTATGCATAGTCTTGCACAAACGCGATTTCCCGACATCAGAAATTGTTGATCGAGACTTGAAGATAGTAAAATTAGTCCAAAACCACACCCAATTTTATTTTGTTTCTTTGAAACGACGATTCACTGTTCGACTACTATCACGATTACTGGTGAGACCCAGTGAAGTACGTGCCAATCTATGTTGCCCAAGCGATCGTCACTTTTCGAAGGGTCATTTTCCTCCTCACTGGATACATCGTCTTGTAATTCCATTTCAAATCGGTAGGGCTGGATTCCGTCTTCAGACATATCATTCACACCATAATCAGACTCCTCAAAACTCATGCTCAAATCGCTCTCAGTTGCGGTGTCATTGTCACTGTCAGTCATGTTGACTGCCATTTCTGTTGAACTTATGATGTCACGAGTAGAAGAGCCTCGATTCCGCGGAAATGACGATTCGGCTGATTAGGTCTGGGCGGACAGGTGAAAATCGACAACTTTGAGCTTTAATAACTCGACACTGGGGCAACGGATTTTGACGGGGTTTTCATTATTATTATTTTTACAGCATTCTTAACATTATATCTAAATATAAAATTACTCTCAGGGTACACTTTAAGACCTATTTTGATGAAACATTTTAAAGAACTGAAGAACCATCTCAAGCAAGTTGGCCGTTTGACCAATAGTCCTTATGTTAGATCATAGTACCATCAAATGTTTTTTTCTCATCATTTCTACTTCCCAAAAGGTTAAAGGTCAATGTCAAAGTCCTGGTTCCACTATGAAAATACAATACTGGTTCCACTATGAAAATACAATACTGGTTCCACTGTGAAAATACAATACTGTTTCCACTGTGAAATACAGTCCTGGTTCCACTATGAAAATACAGTCCTGGTTCCACTGTGAAAGTACAGTACTATTTCCACTGTGAAATACAGTCCTGGTTCCACTATGAAAATACAGTCCTGGTTCCACAGTGAAAGTACAGTACTGTTTCCACTGTGAAATACAGTCCTGGTTCCACTGTGAAGAAAAAGTACTGTTATCACAGTGACGGAACAGTCCTGGTTCCACTGTGAAGAAACAGTCCTGTTATCACTGTGAAAATACAGCACTGTTTCCACTGTGAAAATACAGCACTGTTATCACAGTGAAGAAACAGCACTGTTATCACAGTGAAGAAACAGTCCTGGTTCCACTGTGAAGAAGCAGTACTGGTTCTACAGTGAAGAAATGTACTGTTTCCACTGTGAAAATACAGCACTGTTTCCACTGTGAAAATACAGCACTGTTTCCACTGTGAAAATACAGCACTGTTTCCACTGTGAAAATACAGTACTGGTTCCACTGTGAAAATACAGTCCTGGTTCCACTGTGAAAATACAGTACTGTTATCACAGTGAAGAAACAGCACTGTTATCACAGTGAAGAAACAGTCCTGGTTCCACTGTGAAGAAGCAGTACTGGTTCCACAGTGAAGAAACAGTACTGTTTCCACTGTGAAAATACAGCACTGTTTCCACTGTGAAAATACAGCACTGTTTCCACTGTGAAAATACAGTACTGGTTCCACTGTGAAAATACAGTCCTGGTTCCACAGTGAAAATACAGTCCTGGTTCCACAGTGAAAATACAGTCCTGGTTCCACAGTGAAAATACAGTCCTGGTTCCACTGTGAAGAAAAAGTACTGTTATCACAGTGACGGAACAGTCCTGGTTCCACTGTGAAGAAACAGTACTGTTATCACTGTGACGGAACAGTCCTGGTTCCACTGTGAAGAAAAAGTACTGTTATCACAGTACTGGTTCCACTGTGAAAATACTGTTATCACTGTGTACTGTTTCCACTGTGAAAATACAGCAGCACTGGTTCCACTGTGAGAATACAGCACTGTTTCCACTGTGAAAATACAGCACTGTTTCCACTGTGAAAATACAGTACTGGTTCCACTGTGAAAATACAGTACTGTTATCACAGTGAAGAAACAGTACTGTTTCCACTGTTAAAATACAGCACACAGTACTGGTTCCACTGTGAAGAAAAAGTACTGTTATCACAGTGACGGAACAGTCCTGGTTCCACTGTGAAGAAACAGTCCTGTTATCACTGTGAAAATACAGCACTGTTTCCACTGTGAAAATACAGCACTGTTTCCACTGTGAAAATACAGTACTGGTTCCACTGTGAAAATACAGTACTGGTTCCACTGTGAAAATACAGCACTGTTTCCACTGTGAAAATACAGCACTGTTTCCACTGTGAAAATACAGTACTGGTTCCACTGTGAAAATACAGTACTGGTTCCACTGTGAAGATGCAGTCCTGGTTTAATTTTTCTGTAAACATGTGACAATAATCCCATCCATTATGATACATTGTAAAATACAGCAAGTTTTCCGTATTTCTGGTGTTACAGAGATCATGGATGAGGTCCCATCAACAGAGGGAGAGAAAACTCATGGTAGCACACTGCCTGCAAGGTACTGTAGATCAAAAAGTCAACCCCGGCATGCCACATCTTCTCTTGTACGAGTTGCCACAAGTCCTGGCATGATCGCTGTAGCCAACCATACACAGGCACATGTGTAAGGGCCTTCTATTGGTCTGGTTTTAATTTTGGCCAAGTACTCACTTGCTAATGGCTGTCAGACGTGATGACTAAAGGCACTAAGACCCTATGGGCTTGATTAGAGACTAACAGAGCTTGATAACCTATGCTCATGTCTTACTTGAACAATTCTCACTTATATGACATTTAAGCACCTCGTCTGTCACATAAAACTCAATAGTTACCTGACTACAGGTTAACAGCTTTACAGTGGTAAAGCTTTGAGTTGTAAGGAACTCCATCACAGGTTATACACTCCTAACATACTTGCACAGTTCTGACTCACAAAGCACAGTGTCACAAATTAATGGTTCTTGTGTCACTCATGAACTTGTTCTTTTTTACTTGATCTTTAGCTGGAAGGAAAATTATCCACCAGAAAAAAGATTATCAGCATAACAGGATACTATACAAAGTTTATATACTTGCCCTGTAACACTCCTGGATGATACAGGTGAAATACACATGACGTGAAGTTTGTTCACTTAACACTCCGTGTTAATTGCTCAGTTGATGTTTTTTAAGTCCTGCATAGTCTAAGGGGGGTCACTCCAAATCCAAAAATGGAATTTTTATAAAGATTGTAAATACATTGAAGTGTGGAGTTGTACACCATACTTATCCATTTATTACAGTTAAGTCATACTGGACAACAAAATTAAACAAGGTACATCATCACTTTAACAGATTTCGTTACAAAAAATTAATGAATTAAGGTGGCACATAGCTCTAAGTAAGGCTTTGGATGACATTTAAAGAATCATTTCATTTTATACCAGTCACTTTTATACTAAATGTTGTAAAATGTAGCATATTTCATACCTTCCATACTAGCAGACTATAGATTCCCTTGATTTGTTTAAAAATACTACTTTGCTGGTGACTAATGCACAGTTTTTTTACCTACTGTTTGTTTAATATCCCTGCTGTTCTGTTGTTTGTGTAACAGACTAGTTAATATGCTTTAGACACTGAACACTTTTATGAAGCACATCAAACAATGACAAATAGAGAAAAATAGGACTATCACTACTTAGATGTAACTTTACAACTTATCACAGAGGCAAATTTATAACTAGATCTAATTCTTGTAAAACTTGTATCTGTACCAACCATTCCATCAGCAATGGCTAATATGTGTAGTAATTACGAAGTAAAAGACCTTTAATTCAATCTAAAATATAAATTGTTATCATTTTGTAAAACCTGTTATTTTTTATTTGGCACAGTATCTGTTACAAAGCCTTTAAAGATCTAAAAGAATATTATTGAATTCCATATTTTATAAAATCATCAATTTGATTTTATCTTTTTCTCCATTATTTTCATGACTTTCCTATTCAATCTTCTTTCTGTTTTTGAACTAATTATGTGCACTTTTTATCAAAGCAAAACACATTTAATATGTTTCAGATGTCCAGAGCAGTTTTTTAACCCCATTCGGTAATTTATTTCACTTTCTAACAATTTTTATTGTGTCTTTCAGACAGCCTTATATACTTCTATTCTTTAGCATGTAACATTGCACCTTAATCATATAATTATACCCCAATGTAATCAAATTGACATTATCCAGGATTTGTACTGGTGTATTCCACTTCACATTAAAGGGGATACAGGATAAATGATTAAACAGTATTTTTCAAAATTAATCAAAGTGCAGTTAAGTCTAACCTTGTAATGTTACCTGAAAAATGTAGCCTTGACATCTACCTTTGTATATAGTGATCTTTAATGATTTCAATTAAGTTTCAATGTTTTAATATTGTCATTTCAATTATGTTTATTTTTTTTCAAGTTTAGTGCATGGTTGTGACCTAATCTCAGATTAAGCCATTTGTCTGTCAAAATGTTCATATGTTAGGATTAGCTCCAAATCTTTGTGTGTTGTCTGTCTGACCATTGTACATGGGTTAATAGCTGTGTATTTGTTTGTGATTGTCTACAGGTCATTAGCTCAATGCCTTGGTGATTTTCGACGAGTCATTAGCGCAATGCCTTGGTCATCGTCTACAGGTCATTAGCACAATGTCTTGGTGATTGTCTAGGGGTCATTAGCTCAATGCCTTGGTCATTGGTTAGGGGATATTAGCTCAATGCCTTGATTGTCTACAGGTCATTAGCTCAATGTCTTTTTGTGTCATTGTCTAGGAGTCATTAGCTCAATGTCTTTGTGTGTATTTGTCTACAGGTCATTAGCTCAATGCCTTGATCGTTGTCTACCGGTCATTAGCTCAATGCTTTGATTGTCTACAGGTCATTAGCTCAATGTCTTTGTGTGTGATTGTCTAGGGGTCATTAGCTCAATGTCTTTGTGTGTATTTGTCTACAGGTCATTAGCTCAATGCCTTGGTGATTGTCTACAGGTCATTAGCTCAATGTCTTGGTGATAGTCTACAGGTCATTAGCTCAATGCCTTGGTGATTGTCTACAGGTCATTAGCTCAATGTCTTGGTGATAGTCTACAGGTCATTAGCTAAATGCCTTGGTGATTGTCTACAGGTCATTAGCTCAATGCCTTGGTGATTGTCTACAGGTCATTAGCTCAATGTCTTGGTGATAGTCTACAGGTCATTAGCTAAATGCCTTGGTGATTGTCTACAGGTCATTAGCTCTATGCCATGGTGATTGTCTACAGGTCATTAGCTCTATGCCATGGTGATTGTCTACAGGTCATTAGCTCAATGTCTTTGTGTGTATTTGTCTACAGGTCATTAGCTCAATGCCTTGGTAATTGTCTACAGGTCATTAGCTCAATGCCATGGTGATTGTCTACAGGTCATTAGCTCAATGTCTTTTTGTGTGATTGCCTAGGGGTCATTAGCTCAATGTCTTTGTGTGTAATTGTCTAAGGGTTGATAACTCAATGTCTTTGTTTGTGATTAACTTAGTCATTACCTCAGTGTCTTTGTATGTTATTGTCTAAGAGTCAATTGCTCAATATGTGTGTGTGTTTGTGATTGTCTAAGATTCATTAACTAAGTGTCTTTGTGTCTATCTGTGTCTGGGTTCAAATTTAGTTCAGTGTCATTTTTTATCTGACTCAGTGTTAAGATTAGCTGGTCGACTGTGATTTATAATTTTGATTATTTAAAGTTTAATCACTAAACTTCATGCTTTTTTGTAATCAAGATCCTTTAGTGAAGTTATTTAAAAGATACTAATAAAATTTGAGGGTTTAAACCTGCTGGAAAAAATCAACATTATTAAAATGGTCATGATATTAAATGTGCGTGGAAAATAACTAAAAAATCTCTGTGTACAAAGAGTTATGTATCTCATTACCTGTAATACTGAATTTTCAAGGTGATGGGAGTAATCTAACATCAAAATCCTAATTGTAGAAATTAATGACATAGGAGCAAACAGTTTTTTGGAAGAGCCACTAAGATTTTAATTTCTGATAGAGTTATGTCCCTTAGTAATAACAGCTTTTAAACTTTTCATAATATGTAACATTTAAACAGAATGTCAGTTGTAGTACCATGGATTTTGTTTCTCATGAAATCTTAATGAACGACATTTCAGATGTGTATTTTGCTGTGAAATTCCATCATTCTGATAGAATATATGATATATGAGATTTTGTTCAAATAGGGAAGAGGGGGGATATTGATACAGGAATGAATGTATACATCAGGAAGTTGAGGCCTCTGTCAACACTAGGCACGATAGTTTCAGACACAGTTTAATAAAATCATTGTATTTACATGAGCTTGTTAAATACTGTGTATATTTGACCATCTTACCATGTTTTCACACAGCACAATACTTAATCTTATCACCTATTTGTAAATCTACACCAGCAGAATGCTTTCTTGTACTTTGAGGATAACATTATTTACAGAATTGATTGAGTTGCAAGCGTTATCAAAATTTGATTGAAGGAATATGATGACATTCCACCATTTAAAAACTTTGATTTGAATTGATTTGAAACCATTTCACTTGCGAAGTCATGCTGATATCATTTGAAAAATTTTTAATAGGAATAATTTCTTTTACTCATCACTGTTCAAGGCCAAGATTTTATTGCCTCTGTTTAGGTTATGTGGAAGAAAAGAAAACAAACAGCAATTGAAGTTGTGGAGATGCAGTATTTGTGTATGTGGTTCTGTTTCAGCTTTATTATACTAACAAAGTGGACAGGGTTTTAATTTTTTTTTTTTTTTTTTTTTCTTTTTCTTTTATAACTTTTTTTTATAACTTTTCATTTTATTGTTGTTACAGTTTTAAATACGGGTCCGATGATGATAATAGCAGTATAACTTCTGGATCAGGATTTGGAGCTCATAGCAGTCCTCCTTCAGTATCCCAGAATACATCACAACAACTTCCGATCCTCACACAGGCTAGCCTTGACCCTGTTGTCATGGAGATGAAGGAACTTCGAGACAGCAATGCACAAATGCAGGAAACTATACAGTGTCTGCTAAAAGAGTTTGAAATGTACAGGGTGAGTTTCAGAGGTTTGATGCCTCCAGGTTAGATTTGCAGTGTACAGGGTTCTAAGTTTTGGGGGATGGATGCTTGGAGGGTTTTGAGGTACAAGATGATATTTGCCTGTAGGTTTGAAGTAGAAGTTCTGTGCCTGTAGGCCATGTTTGAAGTAGAAGTTCTGTGCCTGTAGGCCAGGTTTGTAGTAGAAGTTCTGTGCCTGTAGGCTAGGTTTGAAGTAGAAGTTATGTGCCTATAGGCCATGTTTGAAGTAGAAGTTCTGTGCCTGTAGGCCAGGTTTGAAGTAGAAGTTCTTTGCCTGAAGGCCAGGTTTGAAGTAGAAGTTCTGTGCCCGTAGGCCAGGTTTGAAGTAGAAGTTCTGTGCCCGTAGGCCAGGTTTGAAGTAGAAGTTCTGTGCCCGTAGGCCAGGTTTGAAGTAGAAGTTCTGTGCCAGTAGGCCAGGTTTGAAGTAGAAGTTCTTTGCCTGAAGGCCAGGTTTGAAGTAGAAGTTCTGTGCCCGTAGGCCAGGTTTGAAGTAGAAGTTCTGTGCCTGTAGGCCAGGTTTGAAGTAGAAGTTCTGTGCCCGTAGGCCAGGTTTGAAGTAGAAGTTCTGTGCCCGTAGGCCAGGTTTGAAGTAGAAGTTCTGTGCCCGTAGGCCAGGTTTGAAGTAGAAGTTCTTTGCCCGTAGGCCAGGTTTGAAGTAGAAGTTCTGTGCCCGTAGGCCAGGTTTGAAGTAGAAGTTCTGTGCCCGTAGGCCAGGTTTGAAGTAGAAGTTCTTTGCCTGTAGGCCAGGTTTGAAGTAGAAGTTCTGTGCCTGAAGGCCAGGTTTGAAGTAGAAGTTCTGTGCCCGTAGGCCAGGTTTGAAGTAGAAGTTCTGTGCCCGTAGGCCAGGTTTGAAGTAGAAGTTCTGTGCCCGTAGGCCAGGTTTGAAGTAGAAGTTCTGTGCCCGTAGACCAGGTTTGAAGTAGAAGTTCTGTGCCCGTAGGCCAGGTTTGAAGTAGAAGTTCTGTGCCCGTAGGCCAGGTTTGAATTAGAAGTTCTGTGCCCGTAGACCAGGTTTGAATTAGAAGTTCTGTGCCCGTAGGCCAGGTTTGAAGTAGAAGTTCTGTGCCCGTAGGCCAGGTTTGAAGTAGAAGTTCTGTGCCCGTAGGCCAGGTTTGAATTAGAAGTTCTGTGCCCGTAGGCCAGGTTTGAATTAGAAGTTCTGTGCCCGTAGGCCAGGTTTGAATTAGAAGTTCTGTGCCCGTAGGCCAGGTTTGAAGTAGAAGTTCTGTGCCCGTAGGCCAGGTTTGAAGTAGAAGTTCTGTGCCCGTAGGCCAGGTTTGAAGTAGAAGTTCTGTGCCCGTAGGCCAGGTTTGAAGTAGAAGTTCTGTGCCCGTAGGCCAGGTTTGAAGTAGAAGTTCTGTGCCCGTAGGCCAGGTTTGAAGTAGAAGTTCTGTGCCCGTAGGCCAGGTTTGAATTAGAAGTTCTGTGCCCGTAGGCCAGGTTTGAAGTAGAAGTTCTGTGCCCGTAGGCCAGGTTTGAAGTAGAAGTTCTGTGCCCGTAGGCCAGGTTTGAAGTGTACAGGGTGATTATTATGCCTTTTTGACATTAATTTATATAAAAAAAACACTAAAAAAAAGAAGAAAACTCTTACTCGGAACATTTTTGATTTTTCTTCTGAAGTGGTAACGTCCAGTAAAAAACATGTAGAGACTTCAAAAGCATTTTGTATTTGTAATGATAGGTAACAACCCAATCTGACCTCAGTCTCGTGAAGACATTCCTGGAGGAGGAGCGCTATCGGGTGGAACGACTGGAGGAGCAGATCAACGACATGACAGAACTTCACCAAAACGAGGTTACGAATCTACGTCAGGATATCAGCAGTATGGAGGAGAAGATAGAGTATCGACTCGATGAACGGACGGGTGATCTTCACGAGTCATTAGAAAACTGTCAAACAAGAGTGAGTATTAATAGGCTCTTTAAAAATTCTGTTTTATCACTCATATCAGAATTTTTGAAGAAAAGGAATTCACGGGATCATTGATTGGTTGAATATGCAATATGTGTTTTATAGATAGTCAAAATGAAATGATAACAAATTTATTTATTTGTTGTTTTCACTTGATTGGAAGGAGTGTCATGTCCTGTTGTGTTATCTCCTATCACAGGTATCAAAAATGGAACTTCAACAGCAGCAACAGCAGATAATCTCTATGGAGATGGTTGACAATGTGACATTTCGAACTTTGCTTACTAAGTTAATCAACGTAGTATTAGCTCTTCTAGCCGTGGTTCTAGTCTTCGTATCTACAGCTGCCAATCTTGTTGCTCCTTTCCTCACGACCAGGTAAGATTTGTTTTTAGATAAAAAAAAAAAACAAGAAACTACCAATATGTCTGTGTAATCATAATCCAAACTCAAATTCAATAAAAGTGGGGCAAAATATGAACAAAAGGAAGATACGGAGACAACTGTCAGTACAATACATTATTATATTACAAACAAATTAAAATTTTGAAATTTATTTATCTATAGTGCTAATGCACCTCCCCATTTCGATTTGGACTTTTCTTTCGATCACTTTGGATGTAAATATTCCACAGTAGCCTTCCAAGTTTCACAAAGTCTGGCCCTGTCAAGTCCTATAAGGCTGAAGGAGCTGTATGATGTAGTTTGGTTTATTTGCTCTGCTGTATCTTGATTCTAGACTTGTATTACAAGGTGCTGTAGGTTTTTTGTCCAAATGATATTATATGTAGGTATTTGACTAAAAAATACAGAAATTCTGCCCACAAGGCCAAGATTTGGTTAATTAAATGTATGTCTGATGTTAATTGTACTGAACATCAATGGATGTAGGTACTTATCATCGGCTTAATGCTGGATATAAATGTTAGCTATTACAGAAAAAGGAATCGTTAAATTTTAATGTAAATCAAATTAGATCATGGGAGACAATTTTAATATCAAGGCATACATTATATACCATAGAGAGATAATTGTATGTATTTTTAGTAATTTTTATTTTTTTTTCTTACAGAGCAAGGATTCTCAGTACTGTAGTTTTGATATTTGCCCTTGTGTTAGTGGGCCAGAACTGGGGAACGATATCAACGACTGTATGTAACATTTGGAATTATGTTGTGGATTTGTTACCACGACGATAACAGGAAGACAGTGTGGTCTTAAGCTGGACCTTCCATTTCATATACTGAAAACCAATCAGTATTTTTGATTGGATGACTGTCGATCGTGTAAAAGCGACTATAACGTTTAACACTATTCGGCGCAATAACCAGAATGTTGTCAGTTCTCCTCTGTAGAAAGTGTTGATGCTTGTGTTAGATGTGATGAATTCTTGCCAGAAGATATGGAATTAGATCTAAATTTCAATAAATGTATACATCCTTGTGCTGAAAGACACTGTATGTATAAAACTATGTTTTCACGACTTGATATTTCAAAGGTGTTTTCATCTGGAATTTCACACAAAATTATTCTGTTACAGAATTTCCTGTGTGCGTGTTACTGGTTTGAGGTTTTCGCAAAAGTGATATCCTAAATGGGATGATATTGGTTTTCAAATTGGACATTTGGAATATTGGATTGTAAAAAAGGTTACGATTAGTTTATTGGAGATACCTTGCACATAAAACGGATGACTTGATGGTTGTTTTGTGTAGGCAGAATGGCGAGATGTTCTGTTCCATTCGTCACAAGAAGTAAACCCCAGATTTACTTTGTGACTAGAGATTTGTAAGGTTGTGAGGTGAAGGCAATTAAAATAGTAGTCCAGTAATCAACTATTGATTACAAAGTAAAAGCTAGCACTGTGGATTAGTATAAGGGATTATTTCGTTTGGAAATGAGAGTTATGTCCCTTGCCAAGCAGGGTTATTGATATGTTAATGAATTGCTTTGTTATAGAATTGTATCTTACTAATATTAAATTTTCCACATGCATTGCATGTCCCCGTGATACAACGTTGATAGATGGTAAGAACAAGTGTTATACAAGTATTTTTAAATGTGTGTCTTTTTCTGTGATAAATGTGGTACACGATATATGAAAAAATCTTAATATTTGAAGGAGTCCAATATCTCATTCCCAAAAGATGTTCACACTTTCCTTCAAAAAACTCCAACACACAATATTAAAGTTGAGTATGCTTAACTTAACATAGTTATCAATCCCCTTTTGGATTAGCCTGTCACTAATTTGTGTTTTCATGTACATGTATGAATGAAGTTTCAGCGGAGTACATTTTAAGATAGTCTCTTTCCCAGTTTTTCTATTTTCCTTTTTTTTTTGGTGTAGAATTTTTTCATGTGGGGTCCAGTGGTATCTTTTATGATAAAGTATTAGTGGCATTCCCCTTTGTCCTGGACTGTGTAGGGTTCTATAATTCTTTGACAAATTTGCATATCAAGTATTTGTTAACTAAGTGAATTTAAGAAAAAAGATAATTTAGCATATTATTTTTTATGATTGTTGTGAAACCAGCATTCATGATGTAATACTTGTCCTATTTTCATGGAATCCTATACTCCTCAATAACTTCCTTATGGGTCTTGCAATTCTAATGGTTTACCAAGATGTATTACATCAGAGAGGAAATTTTACAATTGCCATATTTTGTATGGTGTTAAAAAAATTACTGCTTATAAGTTATATTTGATACACTTGATAAATTTCTGACAATTTTTACATTGTTAAAATTGGGTTTTGCTTATGTCAACAAAAGAATGATATTTCTTGAATGTTATTTAAAACAAATAGCATTATTTTGGGAAATCTTGTCTGACACTTTTTTTGAAATACATCTTTACTTCTAAACTCAAGTGTAAATTGAATGAATATTAAAATATCAAGTGCAATACTTTTCCTTCAAAATGAGTTAATAATTAAATGATAAAATTTAATTAGCTATGTAAATTAATATTATGTAATGAATTTGCTTTTTAAGTTATAGTCTTATGTTTGTAATACTGTAAAAACTTAAACACTTGATAGGTACATTGAAAATGAAGGATATTCTGTATCAATGTCAGGACTTGCCGATGTCGAGCTAAAAAGTTTTTGTCCCAAAAGATTTGATGCAATTTGAAATTGGTGGAAAACATGTCATTTTATCAAAATTTGTGTAAAGTTTTAATTATTTGATCAACCTAACTATGAATTTTCTTATATGAAGCTGTTGACAAGCTGTTTTATCCTATAGAAAAAGAATTGAGGTTAGATTACATTGGTAATCTACATGTATTTCTTCACACAGAAAGTCAGTTTTTTTTTTCAAATTTGTTGAGGCACAACTGTTTGGTCATTTTGATGTAAAAAAAAAAAAAATGGAATTTGTCTTCACAAATGACATACATATATTATCTTTTTTTTCTTAAGAATATAATTTATCTGAATACTGTAAATTGTAAAAAAAAAAAAAAAAAAAAACCCAAAAAAACCCTTTTGTTTCCTGATCTCCCGTTCTAGGAACGTAACAGAACTTGCAGAGTCACTTGATCACATAAATTAAGCTTACTTGGTAAACTTTGTCATACTCAAATGCATGTTATATTGAATAACTTACCACAATATCGGGTTTACAGTAAGATACTGGTTGTAGCTGAGCGCCTGTTGAGTGAAATGTTTCCGTTTTATTGAATATGCCAAAATATGTGTAGTACATGTAACGTGTTAAAGTATTGATACTGACAATGTGTAGGAGTGGGAATACGTTTTGGAAAGGTTGGTGTAACAATGATATTGATAGCTAACATAATGTAACAACATTATTTTTTCGTATATTTGGATTTCGAATGTGCTTTTCGTGAATGAAGTTTGGTTAATTCAAAGATATTTGAAATTTGATTTCAAATGTTTGTAAGTTATATTGATGTTTTGAAATATTTAAAGCTTCCAAGGACAATAATTTCAATATATTTGATACTGTTTTCAGTACGCAATATTATTCGTTAGTCCCATTCCTTACTGGATTCCTGATATTTGTTCAGTTAATAGAGATCCTGATTTTAATGTTTGCAATGTAATGCTGTTCAAACCCCCCTTGAATTCTTTGTGTTTTCTACCTTTTTATCAAACAATACGCTGTAGAATTGATAACAATTATTTAAAAATACCAGAAACATTCATCCTACCTTTATAGGATTTTATGTGAGATTAAGAGTTCGTACAATTTTACTGAATAACACATAACAATGAAAAAATTCTCAGTTTATACTCATGAAAAGGGGAAAAATCACAATAATAAATTTTGTCATCAAATTTAGTTTGAAGATGCTATGACAGTTTGATCGTTGGGTATTAAATATAGCTTTAATACTTCCATATAGACTTAGATAAAATAGCTCAAATATTGACCCAGTTTAGGAAAGCATTGTTAGCTTAATTTATGGATATCACTAATTTTCAACATACAGTATTTTTAAAGGTGAAAATCCATGAAATGCCATGCACAGATTATTTTCAAAATATGTTAATGCAAAAATTGATAAGGATTTTATGACTTTGAACTTGTTAAAGATAACTAGACTAAACAGCTGTGAAGTAAGGGAGCATATCTGTGAGTCGTAAAGTATCCCAGTTTTACGTATACATATGTATACCAATGTTTGATCTTAAAGTATGTGTATGTATGAGCTTGCCATGTCAAAATCACATGAAGAGATTAGTAGTCACATTTTCAACTTCATTTTCATTTATTGACTTTACTTTAGATAACATGTTCCCTAACATGTCCATTTTGCTATTGGAGTCCAACACTAACAGTAACTTTATATTTAATGCAGGGTAAGCTGATCTCTGCATAGTTTGAGTGGCTACCACATTGTGTTTTTACATCTACTAATTTTAAATTTTCATTTTTTAAAAAATTTTAAAAACAAAGGAAGTATTATTCTCTATTGTGCATTTATTTCAAAAGCTCTTTCATTATTATCGAAAATGTTAATCTTTTTCTTTCTTTTTTTTTTTTGTCTAAAGGAAAGATTAACGGTAGTTTTGCTTTTTATTCAAGATTTCTTTAGACCATGACTTAATCAGACAAAACAGTACTCCGTTTATCAAATTAAAGATAAATGAACCAAAACGATTTTTGTAAATGTTTAGATCTTTCTTTAGCTATATAACTTGATAACACATACTTCTGCTTTTTCTGATTATTAAAGGGGTTTGGCACTATTTTTGGATATGTAACTAATAATTATATATTTTAACACAAAATGGATAAGACATTGTGTATCTCTCACTTTTACAGGTAATGTTTCAGGAGGCTTAGTTTTACATCAATTGGTTAGGCTTATTTATCATTCCTATTGATGACCATTACAAAAGCTGTTCAATAAGCTACGAAAACTCTTAACACAACTTATTCCGATTTATGGAATCTCTTTTATGACAGCTTCTATAGACAGAAAAAATTATAATAAAACTCAGTCTTACCTGAAAGCAACAAAGATCGGTTTTATTATTGACCCTCCTTTTTGTACCTAAGCTGTCAGCTTTCCTGAAAACTGTTTGCGTTATAATCTATATAGAAATATATATATATAAATACATACCTTCCCATTTTGTTTCCAATAAGGTAACTTGAAACACATTACTTTTTGAGCTTCATCATGACCTGTCATCTGTATGTAAGAACAAAGGGTTGGTAGATCTAAAGTGTTGGATAATGATTTTAATGTTAAAGGTTTGGCACTTTCATTTCAACACAAGCATCTGTCAAACGTAAAGCTATTTACGCATTCATACTTAACTACTGGTCAATAGAACATGTTCAATGCAGTTTGAACATGACTGTTGCGCTGATGATATTGAACAAAGTCTCCTCAATATATTTAACTTTCTTAAAATGTGTAAAATGATTTGATTATAACAAACACTGTTTTATCATTCAACCAAGTTGTTGTTTTTCCCATGTCAGAAACTAAAAGTAAGAAAGTTGTAATAAGAAAACGTCCAACCACTTCATTAAGCATAGCCACACGTTAATTTATGGTCGAACAGCCAGTTACAATCACTGCGTGTTAATTTATTTTGACATTCATTAGGTTTCTAGAGCATTTCCTTTTCATGAAAATGAGCTGATCAAATCACTTTGACAAATGTTTCTTTCGGAAACAGCTTTTTATGTGTTTTGGGCATTAGTGATATTGACAAAAAACTTTATGACTCAAATCATATTAGTCATTTTCTGACAGTGAATGATTGCAAAGAATTGTCTACAAATAGGTAAAACATTTGTTGTAACTTCGGTCCTGTGATCAGATCACAATTAGGAGACACAAGAGACCTCGCGAGTTGCAAGATCTTCATAGAAAGAACAACAATACATACTTCCACTAGTTAATACAGACAACACATGGCGTTTTATTACAATTTTGTAAACAAGTTGTTAACACTAGTTTATGATAGATAAAAGTGCATCAAATGCATGGTGATTAAAAAAAAGAAATGCTTTGTGTGGATAATTCAAAATAAACCAATATTGTTGTAAATATATTTGTGTCCAAAAAAGCAAATTATTTTAGATTTTTAATGTAAGTTGATGTTAGCACGTAAACGTTTTACCTTAGTTACTTGTGGGATTTACTTGCCTGGAGATGAATGCCGCCATTTCTATGGTTAGTGCAATATGAGATTAAACAATGCAATTTTATGTTGACTTTGTCTTGTCTTTAAGTCCTGGTGATCGCCCTTTCTGTTTCTGGTCTGGCATCAGTTTTTTACCCGTTCATCTGACGCATTGAATGGCAGAGCGGATGCAGTTCAATGCTGTTGTCCCTTCTCCACCAGTTACTGAAGTCAGGGGGCGGGGCCCACCGGATGAAAACCCCGCCCTACCGGATGAAAACCTCGCCCCACCGGATGAAAACCCCGCCCCACCGAATGAAAACGTAACTTTTGAAGATATGCATGATGTCATCCCTTCTTATTTGCAATTAAATTTCTAAATTTTAAACTAATTTTAGAAATTAATTCATGTTATATACACAACCAGTACTACATACCATCTTCATAAGATAAATAGCCAGTGTAAAACTCAAAATGGTACGCTTAGGACCTTAGCACTGCTGATGAGTCTTAGAAGGATGAAACATCTATATTATGTAGATTAATTGCGTGTTTGGTTCTACTTTTTCATACAGAAATTTGTATTAAATGGTGTTGTTCACATTGTGCTTCTTTTGTACAAGCTCATAGATGTGTGGGGTCTGGCCTCCTCCTCCCTCAGTTTAGTACTGCCCGCTGCAGTACTCAGATAATATGCTCGACCAGCTACCTGCATATGTTATTTTCCCTGTTGGCTATACGGGGATTTTCGAACTCAATGTTATGATTTTGCTGTGTAGAATGCTCTGTATGTGCAGCCGATTTATTAGTCTTGGACTGAGAATGCGTTTGCTCTGATTTGATATTTTTTGTCCGTTTCTCCAATTTACAATGAGTCGGAGTTATGACATCAGATTTTTATATGCATTTGCGGCGTTCCTTTAGGTGTTTTATTCTTTGGATGGACTAGGACATTCCGGATAGTTTTGTTATGTTTCATGGCTGTTGCAATACCATGACCACGGGAAATCATTTGAATGGTTTCTGATGTAAGGGATGTTCCTGTTCTTTCATTTTGTTCTTTTCCTTGATGTTTCGTCTATTGTGACTTTTCCATGCTTTCAACAAGTTCGTTGGCAACTTCGAATCAAGGTTTCCATATGTAATCATGGCTGTATGGATGTGATTTTGTTCTTGCTTCTTGTCTTGTTCTTTTTGACCATTTCATGTCTGCGGAGTAAATTCCGTTCCACTACCTACGTCTGGTGTAAGTGGCGGTGCGATCAGAAGTTGAGGTATCGGTCCTTGTGCGCCTTATTCCTATAGATACTTTGATAGTACCGTCATCTTTCTTTACTATAAGTGTGTCAAGGAATGGCATACTGCCGTAGATTTCCTCCTAACAGGTGAATTTGGTGTTGGTGGTGGTATCCACGGTACTGATATACACAGTTAAATCCTGTAATCTTTCTTTACTATTTCCAATGTCATCGACATATCATTTCCAGACTAGGCTAACATTTTGTGGGGACCCATTTCTCCGAGAACTCAATTAATAAATGTCGCAATCGGAGACACTGTGTCAAATTGTTGCTGGTACCATACCTTAGCAAACAAAACATCTGGCGAGAACAAATTCTAGTACCACAATGATGCACTTGATATGAAGGTTTGTGCTCTTCCGCCATAACTTGTCTTGCTCTAAGCGGCTCCTAATGTGTTTTGTCACTGGGTTTGTTGGCGAAAAGAGAAATGACATCGTGTGAAATGAATTCCTGATCTTTCTTATATAAATACCGTGGACATACTTTTCTTCAGTGTTATCAAGTGTTTGATATGGGGTTCTGATTTCCCTACCAAGGTCATATATTTGGTAGCGAGTTCCCTTCTTTGTGGATCATTGGTGTACATCACTGCAGTGGTATACTGGTGACTATATTGTGATTAAGCGATCTTATTTTCTTGGTGTAATTTTGATGAGCTACCAGCGTTAACAAAGCATAATCGAATCGACTATATGACCTTGTTATCATCTGGTATTTTCTCTTTAACTTTTTTCTTGTAATCCTTTTACCATTTCGTCTTACTTCATGTGCATATGATCACAGTACAGTACGATTCCTGACCTTCCTCACAAACTACGTATGTCAGTTTTAGCACGCTTCACACTGGTGACACTCTAGTAGTCTACTGGTTGTGTTATAGGAACTTCTATTCTATCGGCATAACCAACCTGAGGAAAATGTTCCGAAATCACAGAAATTAATATATTTCAACTATTTGAACGCCTTCTAAAAGACTGGCTTGGCATCAATTAAAGAGTCTGTCAATCTACTTTTCACGTTTAAAACTTTAAAGGTTTACCCTAGGATTCAGCTCAAACTTGCATCAAATGATTTTCAGGACGGTCAAATATCCAATATGGCCGCCATCTTGAAAAACACATTTAAAACTTCTCTAGTTTGACAGGTACCACTGAATTGACAATCGGTGGGGATGTCAAGGAAAAGAAAGTGATCAAATGTTGCTATTTTGCCTCCTCAAAACTTCAAAATGACAGCCACAACGGTCATTTTGTAACATGATTGGGTTATCGTGGTTTTTACTGATTAACAGCTATTTTAAATTTCTCCAACAGTTCCTTCAGTGGTATTAAGCACAAACTTGCCAGAAACGATCCCGCAGTGGTCTTGGTTTTTTCGGACCGGTCAAAAATCTAATATTGCTAACGTGACCGCCATCTTGAAATACATATGTTAAGAAATTCTCCAGTTTGACTGGTGTTTCGAAAATAAAACCTTGAACTTGTTATTTTTCTGCCACTTCAAAACTTCGGGATGGCTGTCTCGACGGTCATTGTGAAACATGGTTTTCCTGAATAGCACCTATGAAACCATTTTTTAAGTTCTTCCGTTAGGATTGGGCTCAAATCTGCAAGAAATGAGATTATCCTGGCCAGGAGTTATCCAGGTCGAACTCAAATATAGTTTCTATGACTGCCATTTTGAAAAACACATTTTGATGTTTCTTTTCAAGTTCAAGTGGTGTTATGAAGTAAAATTTTGTGGAAATGTCAAGAAGCTTAAGTGAACAGTGCAGTTGTATTCATACTTGTTTTAATCGTTTAATAATTGGTCCTGCTTCCATTACTGCTATCCCCAAACCAAAAGTATACGTTGATGTTCACACACATGCACGCCTTTAGCAACAGGGATTTGGTTTCTTCACTCCCCATATGATCAATGTTCGCCGTGTAACTGGTTATGTTTGCTTATAGGTTATATTTGCGTTTTTTGCGGCTATGCAGAGGACCACAAGAATATAAATCGCAAGTATTAAGAGTATCGCACAAAAAATCGCCGTTAGAAAAAAAAATGCTATTTTAAAGATACAAAGTCGAATGAATATCGCCAGTCACTGGTATGGTATGAAAATGACGGTTTTCAAACATTAAAAATAAAAGAAATGATAATTTAAAAAAAAAAAAAAAAGGAAAAAAAAAACCTGTGAACTAAAAAAAGTATGTTAAAATGTTACTTACATCGTGTGTTTGGTACAAACGATATATATCACAAAACGAACAAGGAATAAATATATATATCTAACATAACTTTATAGCATATGAAATATACACGGAACGTTTACTTGATCAGCCTATGGCGGGTGGATGTGCTTGCGTATAGTATGTACAGTCTGCCTGTGATGTAGAAAGATTATCATAATCTCCTGTCGCGAGACTTCGTATCACGTGACGAGAGGCCAGATTTGAATGATAGTCCCAGCTGTCGGTACTGAAATGAAAGGATTAGATCAAAAAGAGGATACATATTATCATCATTCTAGGTACGCTAGAAATGCTGATTATTTTCATGTTTAAAATAAATATTTCAGATTGTATATTATCCGAAAATATATGTTTAACGTATCAAAATTCATACACTTCAATTTTGTACATGTTTAGTTATCTTTTATAACGACAGATAACGTTTCAAGAAATTCATCATTGATTAAAATTAGGACTAAGATGTCTTATTATCAAGGCTCCACGTGGATAAATCACCATGAAACTCTCCATCTACAAGTACCTATATAGAATAAATTATCAAACTTACGTAGTCCAGTTGAAATGGTTCGTGTCGGTCACGTGGTATTGGTTTACACCGACTGCATCAATTGTCCTGACAAATAACTTGTTAGTGATGGGATTGTATCCGTCTAGAATATTTATAGAGTCTTGATCATGTATATCGGGCAAGTACTGAAACATAAGAATCTGGTTATCAGTACATTACATTGAAATTGAAACAAAGACTTGCATTTATATATAAGTCCCTCAATGATATGTTTCCTATACAAAGGGTTATAGAGAAAGGTTCTGTCTCATCTTGGGTTCGAACGATGACCACTGGCTTTCGACTACTTTATAACTATATTAAAAGGCAGGACACGAAATGTGAATCAAACTCGGAGACCGAAATCAATGAACTGAGGGTTGTCGAAACATATCCACAATAAATCACTTTGCTGGCGTCTTTGTCTATTGTCATGGCGATTTTAACATGGAAGAAAATCGAAGTACCCACAGAAATCATGGGGTCGGGAAAGTGACCCCCTTACCCTATTTTATAGTTCTCATTAACGAATGACCTTCAAAGACCATCAGGATATGCAGGGTACAGCAAACCTAAAGGAATACAGTCCAAAAGTACAGTCTACCATCTGCATCTTTCGAAGATGATACAAACAATAAGCACTTTTCAATACAATGTACTGTACTGTAGCGCCGAATAATGAATTTAATATAATCACACAACTGTGTCGTCTTGCTGGGACTTGCCAGGGATACTATGGTCTAACTTTCAACATCAACTAAAAGAGAATGACGTCATAGAACCATAGCTAAGGAAGCGACATAGATGACATAACCTTATTACCAAGGGACGCAAATCCATAAGTTGTTTAGAAAGACGTGCAGTTGCTTTTTAGTTTTTTTTTCATTTTGTTTTCTAACACCAACACACATGTAATTATTGGTCATTATTTTTACCTGTTTGAGTTTGACTTAGGAACTACCTTGTTGCTGATGACCATGAACAAAGATTAAGGTATAGGTGTATGTTATAATCCAAAGGTAGCCAATGTAATAAACATTCCTTTCCCTTGATACTGTAATTGATTCTAACACTTTCGACTGCAGAGACTATAGTAAAGAATTTAGACATACAAACAAAATACATGGTTAAGAATATGATGTCAAATTGGAAATCTGTCAGCAAAATCGATGACAAAGAATCTGAAAAATGAAAATCAAAGGCAACGATTTTGAAACAAATATGCAGTTTTCAAAGTTAAGATATTATAACTCTGGAAACACTAAGTAGACTGTAAACAAACAGAACTTGAATTGCATCTTGTTATGATACAACTAAAATGTTGCGATATAATAGCGACTGTACTGAATATGTGTGTACCACATTCAGCTTTTTTCCTAATATACCTCCCAGCCCGATCCACGGTTATAAGATTTTCCACACTTCCAGCTGTGTCCACCGTTTGGCTTAAAACATCCTAATGCAAGATTTCCACTTATTACAAACGAACACTTCCTTCCAAGGACGTCATGACCCAGGTGTTGAGTAATGAATTCTTGGACAGCCATGTATTTCGGAACGGTGTGAGGATCCTCGCCAGTATAACGTAACATTCCCCAACTTCCGTATTTGCTTGGAAATCCAGTCGAAGAAAAGTAGTTAAACAGACCACCTGATGAAAAATTCATTTGTCAGTGATTTCTTTTTATTTATTTTTTTAAATTGTGATCATGGCGGCCATATTGTATTTCGGACCAATCTAAAATATAAGAACGGTCAGGACCGTCCAAGGAGTATTTCAGACAACAGCTATGTTGGATTTTGACGATGACAAAAATATGAAAACTTCCTTTCCTTAGCATGGCCACCATTTTTCAGCCCAGTTAGCACCAGTGGAATTGGAAAAGTTTAAAATATATTTTCAAGATGGCAGTTATTTGCAGCCACCTTGGATTTCAAACCTACCCGAAAAATAAAAGTACTTGGACAGGATCCCATCACTTGATTTGGATGTGAAATGTAATATGTAAAATGTTATGGCGGACGGTGGACGACGACGGGAGAAACACGATGACTATAGGTCATTTTGACCAAATATCAGATAATCTATCAATGGATCTTTATAGTTGGGTAAATGGAATAAATTCGTATTTATGTATAATGAAAGATAGTCAATAGCTCACAAATATGTGTAGGTTACAATGAAACGCATTTGAAATCATTTTGTTCTCACTCCAGATTATGAAAAAGGTTATCGTACTTTGGCAATTATCATAAACATTGATTCAATTTTGAGTGAACAGACTGACCAGGAGCCTTATTCCCGGCAGCGTCTGTCACAATGCTCTTCCAAGCGTTCAAAATCGCCTTCACATTGTCCTTTATGTGAGGATCCGAGTTAAATGCGATGGCTTTGTTTGTAACAGAATCATTTGATGAACCAAGAGAAATAGCACCTGGTTCCATTACGGCTGGTCCACCCTCGTACATCACTAGTGCCAAACTGTGGTTCTGAAGAAGAAGAAGAAGAAGAAGAAGAAGAAGAAGAAGAAGAAGAAGAAGAAGAAGAAGAAGAAAAGAAGACGAAGAAAATGATTAGTAAATAAGGAATATCACGCGGTTTAAGCGTTTTCCCCTTCCTCACCACCTGTCATGCAGATTCGTATCAAAGATTTTTAAAAAATACACAAGATACATTAGAGCCAAACAATAAATCAGATTGCATCATAAGGTGTGGTCCTTCTTGGACTCCTCAGTTATGTCAAGGGCCTAAATCTTAAAGACTAGGAAGCGACAGAGGAATATCTAGAGTGATCAAAAGGAAAGTCAAAATCTAGCCAGGGAGGTGCACTAGCCCCATGGTTCAATCAATTACATAATTTTCATATATCGGATAGTTATTGAAACACCGTCAGGTATGTTTGCATATTCTGAACTGTGTTACTATATGGATCAATTGAAACGTGGCATGCATGTTACTGCAAACCTCTGGGGCTAAATGTCCTCCAATCACCTGCCACCTGCAATTTCAAAGATTGTTTCTATAGTAAATTGAAATTGAACCAATCACTGGGATTCGTGAGAAATATCAAATAGAAATGGATGCTATAAACGTGTTTTCTACCTTTGCGACGTCCATGTAATGTCTATACAAACTTTCCTGGGAAGGAAGTTCCAAGGCGCATAAATTACTGATCTCAATCATTGACATTTGTGGCAGTTCCGCTTTCTACAACAAAATACGAAAATAACACATGGATAAAAAAAGAAACAAAATCACAGAAAATGTAATCACCATCTACTGCATGTCTTTATATATCATTTTTTGCCCTAATGCATTAATTTATTTCTATATGTACAGAACACATCGTTAAACAAAGCAAGGACTCTGATAAGCATATAATGTAAAGCGATAGTGTACAAGAACAAGATAACGATAATTAAGATTTAAAAGCTGACTTCTGTTATCTTTTGTTTTGGTTGTATATCATTTAAAGATTGTGATTTTTTACAAATGAAATGATATTTTTTTCAAAGTGTCGAATGGTGCAGGATTGATGAGAAAATGTACTAAGATATAGTTTATGGTCTGTCTTTTATAGTCACCATTGCTGCTTAGTACAATTTCTTACGCCTTATCTGTTTGATATAATAGGTTCTTGTTTTTGGTACCCCGAACTTGTCCCCTTTAAACTCACAAAACAAGGCAACTATAAAAGCTTTTGGAATAGTATCCTAAAACATTGCGGTTTAAAAAAATTTTTGTTCTATGAATGATATTGTTTTCATTTTTTACAACCATTCCATATATCTTCCCATGATCTAAGTTCTTGTTGCTTGCCAAAATTACTGCTTTGATACATATGATTTATTTGTATATTAATTGTTGATACAAATTATTTGAAGTTTAAACAACATGTCCTTGAGTGAGTGTTTTAATTCGTTTGAATCGTAGCACGGTTCAGAATACACACATGTACTAGGTATCCTATCATCCAATATTCAAATTAACATACAAAATGTATATTGAACTTTTGGCCTTCAGTAATCCATGCACATCTGTTGGAAATGTACTTTTATGTGCGTGTCTTTGTTTTATATAATTTCATGTTGTTTACCAACATGCCTCATCTCCTAACCACGTGTTACACACCTTCCTTGTTCGGCTTGTCCTGTATCTAATGTTAAATTAGTAGTGTTAGGTATCATACGCGTGCGAGGTTTTTACATGTTTTTTTTTTTATTCTGTGAAACAATATTGTAGTTTTCGTTAATATCCCATGGTCCTACTATTTCGCTCAATAAAAGTGTTGTTTTTTTTTCTGTGAAACAATTTTGTAGTTTTCGTTAATATCTCATGGTCCTACTATTTCGCTCAATAAGAGTGTTTTTGTTTAGTCTGTGAAACAATTTTGTAGTTTTCGTTAATATCTCACGCTCCTACTATTTCGCTCAATAAGAGTGTTTTTGTTTATTCCAAATAAAGATCTTCACTCTGATTTCATTTCTTTGTCATGCACATCAATAACACTAAGAATAAACAAAGACGGACCTAAAACAGATCCTTTATGTATGCCTCTTATAGAAGATATTTGTCGCTGTTTTAATTTTTCCTACCTTTTACATGTATATCTAAGATAGGGTGTAGGCTATGAGGACAGATGTCAAATGCACCATTGGGGCCGAGAAAATCGAAAAAGTAATTTGATGAAAAAGAGATATTTAATATAAATCATGAAGCAAAAAAGCTAAGCAAATTTCACGTACGGACAATCTGTTTTCCAATACCTTATGAAAAATATTCTTTCGAGCGTCAAATTAAGGTTACATCATGTTGTTCACAATTTTTCAAATTTTAGCGCTAATAATACACAAAAGTGCATTTACCAAAACATTTGACATAGTCAAAGCTGATGTAAACCGACTTATTCTGTTATAGTTTTATGTTGATTTCAGAATATTTATATACATAATGTGACTTTAGGTTCCTTTTCATGCTTCGCTAGTGTCAGGGAAATATTGAACAACAGTGCTACAACAAGGTTGTGTATTGGGATCTACTGATGTAATGGTTCCTATCCTAAAATTAAATTATTTTATTAGCGAGAAAAAAATGTAACTTACAATCAAAAAATGTGAAAGGACTTTTTTAAACGGCTAAACATTTACCTTTAAAAACAATATTTGATAAGTATAATTATGATAATCATAATTTTCGGTATCCAGGAATTAAAAAAAAAGTCAAACAGTTTATTATATTACAATATTGGTTTCTGAGATAACGCCGGTTCTTGTTAATTCCGCTATCATAATGTATATAGAATGTAACTATATTTGATTGGGGCCCAAAAATATTCTTACGATGGCAGTTCCTACACATGGCTTCCATTGACTGTATTATGCTTATACACACTGCTTCTATTGGCGTTGGTAACCTACCAAACGTACCTAGAGGTTTAACATTTTAATGTCTCCAACGTAAAAAGGACTCTGATGATGAATACTGTAATGGCTTTGCTATGATGAAAATGGTTTAAACATTGCGGCTGAAAGGAAAACCTGAGGCCAAAGGGCGTATTTATCCACGGGGTCGATGATACTTCATCAATTTCCTTTTTTACATATGCAATATACCTACGATTCCGTTCTGTGAAAACATGAACGTCATTTGCATTATACTCCAATTTACTCTTCAATAACTAACACCATCACAGCGTTCATGATTAAAGAAATATCACAAAATATTAAAATAAAAACAAACGATAAAACAGTGAACTAACGTGTTTAGAGGCAGCGCCATCACATGAAAAGTAACCAGTGATCGCCAGAGCTTTAAAACTTCGTGTCCGATTACCGAGGTCGTCCAGGGCCTGTCTGTAGTAATCCTGATATCCGGTCTGCCAAGCCCAAACCGGAAACACTCTGTCGTTACTATGGCTACCGAATACCTGGTTATTTTGAAATATCTACGTATATCACAAAGAAGAACAGAATGAAGAATACAAGATTATGTGACGTGAAGACAAAGAGAAAGTTAACTTTTTTTCAATTTTGTTGAAAATACTATGAAATAAAACCTTTGAAACAATTTTTAAGAGAAAAATCAGAATAAAACATAATAGAAATAGAATTTAAAAGATAACAGCTGAACCACTGCCTTAGGAGTGACACAAAGATATATCATTTAAACCTATGGCAGGATATGTGACGTCACTAGAAAGGTATAGTGCGTCTTGCCGTGTGAACCATTGATTCATTAGATTAAGATATTTTGAATATCATAAACACGGTACATCACTCTACCGTACAGTCAGAAAAGCTTACCGACTGGAATATGTCCATGACCTCTGATGACCTCTTATTATAATATTTCAGTCCGGCTTTATAACCCTGACTGTCCAGACCTAGCTGTTTACCCTTCTCCGCGGAGTATGCTGTCTGGCGGAAAATTCCATTCCACACCTCGTTAGAATATTCCAGGTAAATCTATAAATAGGTATATAGGTATGAACAGAATAAAGTATATCTTGATCTAGATGTCTGTAACTCCTTTATTTATTTATTCAAATGTTCGCTTAAAATTGCTGCATTATATGTGACCAATATGAAAACATCGACACATTTCAACATTCCGGCCTTTGGTGATTCTCCCATACAAGGATGAAGACAACACATTGAACTTTTCGCGTTCCTTCAACAAAAACAGAAGGTTTCAGTTTTGTGTTTTGGGGTTTGGTTTTGTTGAGGGGGGATTTTGTTCTGTTTTATTTTCTCTTTATTGTGTGTGAATTTAAATTTTGAATTATGAAATACGTTCACTATATTTTTTTCATAGAAAAAAGAAATCTTCGCCAGGGAATGAGCTGTCCCCTATATATATTATGTATCGATAATTGTACCTTATACATACATTAATGTAATTGTAAAAAAGAAATTAACGAATGCTATATATCACGTGAAATTGATATTTTGAGTGAAAAGTAATCACATGAAAGCAACAAAAATTTACACATCTCAAAAATTATTTTACGAGGAATTATGAAGGAACAAACCTTAAGGTCCGGACGAAGAGAAGTTTTGACAAATAAGGCAAATTTTCTGACAAAGTCGTCGTCTGCTGCGTGAGGAATATTAAACCAAGGATTGGCGCCCATCATATTGCTAAGCAGTATCATGTATTCTAGAGCGGCTCCATAACTTCCGGTCTGGGTGTGAAAAGTCCTCTTCCTTCGAGTTGTCCATGTAGTTGGTTCGGGCTATAAAACAATAGTGAAGCATACATTTCTGTTTAGATTTTCTCAATTACATAGTAACCTATAAGATGAATAAGTATAAATTCAGTACTTTATTTCTGGGAAGATCTTTCATACTTCACATTATTATCATTTATTATCATAAGATGCTGTTACTTACTTGATGTTCATTTGTATGCATAAAGTCCATATATCTAAACTCGGAGTAACGTGTTATTGTTTCTAAAAACAGGGGATTGTAAGGAAAGTGCGCATGCCTATCCTCAAACCCCGGAAGTATAACACGGATGTTCCGAATATGGTTTTGTGGGTTTGTGCGCATGATCTTCAGCTCAATACCACCTGAACCAGGATCCATGTTTACTATCATACGTCCTGAAAATGACGTCATCTATGTTGTCATATATGGATTTTTGATAATTAATTCGTCGCAAATCATTTAAACGTAACACGGTTAGAATAAGGTTCGTGGATACCTCTGATTTCTAAATATGGGTCTTACTCATAATTAAGCTGTAACATGGAAAATAAATACAACATGTTTCAACACTTGTATCAAATGTGATATGGGGCACCTTACCAAGACTCCATCATATCCTGAAATACTACACTCACTCACACCTGTCGCCAGGTTGTGCTTACAATGCGGAACATAAAGATAGACACAAAAACTTATCTATTTAGATAGATGCCTGACAAGTGAGTGGAACCAACACTAATCTAACAAAGACAATATTGAGGAAAACTGAATTGAAGTTGTAGGCCATTCTTTTGATATGTTCTCTAGATGGTTCAACTTTACCTTTGCCTTCGTACATACGGGTGAAACGTACAAGACCCAGACCAATTTCTCCTTCGCCGTCATAAAGGATTGTGTAGTTACCGCCGGGGCTACTATGACCTTGGCGGAGCATCAAGGTCACCAGGATCATTGTATCTGCAGAAAGAAACACAAATTATTACTTGTAGTTTAGATGTGATGTTTACAAGTGATAAATGGGAAATGACCCACTTTCCTGACCAGTGTTCCCAGCTATACTGTATATCTATCCCTCTAGAAGTTTCTCTCTATTGGTGTACCTTAGCTATACAACCGTCCAACTGACTATCTGGGACTGTTGCTAGGTAGACAACCGTCCTACTGACTATCTGGGACTGTTGCTAGGTAGACATCCGTCCTACTGACTATCTGGGACTGTTGCTAGCTAGACAACCGTCCTACTGACTATCTGGGACTGTTGCTAGGTAGACGGCCGTCCCACTGACTATCTGGGACTGTTGCTAGGTAGACGGCCGTCCCACTGACTATCTGGGACTGTTGCTAGATAGACGGCCGTCCCACTGACTATCTGGGACTGTTGCTAGGTAGACAGCCGTCCTACTGACTATCTGGGACTGTTGCTCGGTAGACAACCGTCCTACTGACTATCTGGGACTGTTGCGGGGACGTGCAACCGCATAAAAACTAATACATGTTTACAAAGAGAAAGTAGAACATTTTGGAAATATACAAAAAAGTTTAAAAATAGACAATACAGTGGAGAAAAGTAAGAGATAGATGACAAATTGGACACTTCACACGAGGATGCAGAAATATTGTAGAATTCTTCTTTAAAGAAAAAAAAAATAAATTCATGTGCCTCATTCTAATAGCTAGTAGGAGACCCGTTTTGAACTCCTTCGTGCTGTCTAGGCAGAGGGACAAAACAACAACAACCAAAACAATTTAAAAACGTCAAAACAAAAGCAAGAAAGCAAAATAAAAACAAAGCTGATCTTACTACATTCTGTTCTTCTAACCTCCAATCATCATTTTAGTCATTACTTTGTGATCCCATCCCCCTTCCCAAACAATAGATAAAATCGAAACCTTCCAGTTGTGTAGGATACCCGTCCTCGTCAAAAAGGATTGTGTCCTCCTCATGAGTGTTCCACTGGTGTGCCTGGTCACCTTCGCGGCGCTGTGTTATCCATTCCATCGACTCCTTTGCTACATCCACAAACTTGATCTCACTGTATATCTATCCCTCTAGAAGTTTCTCTCTATTGGTGTACCTTAGCTATACAACCGTCCAACTGACTATCTGGGACTGTTGCTAGGTAGACAACCGTCCTACTGACTATATGGGACTGTTGTTAGGTAGACAACCGTCCTACTGACTATCTGGGACTGTTGCTAGGTAGACATCCGTCCTACTGACTATCTGGGACTGTTGCTAGCTAGACAACCGTCCTACTGACTATCTGGGACTGTTGCTAGGTAGACGGCAGTCCCACTGACTATCTGGGACTGTTGCTAGGTAGACGGCCGTCCCACTTACTATCTGGGACTGTTGCTAGGTAGACGGCCGTCCCACTGACTATCTGGCACTGTTGCTAGGTAGACGGCCGTCCCACTGACTATCTGGGACTGTTGCTAGGTAGACGGCCGTCCCACTGACTATCTGGGACTGTTGCTAGGTAGACGGCCGTCCCACTGACTATCTGGGACTGTTGCTAGGTAGACGGCCGTCCCACTGACTATCTGGGACTGTTGCTAGGTAGACAGCCGTCCCACTGACTATCTGGGACTGTTGCTCGGTAGACAACCGTCCTACTGACTATCTGGGACTGTTGCTCGGTAGACAACCGTCCTACTGACTATCTGGGACTGTTGCTCGGTAGACAGCCGTCCCACTGACTATCTGGGACTGTTGCTCGGTAGACAACCGTCCTACTGACTATCTGGGACTGTTGCGGGGACGTGCAACCGCATAAAAACAAACCTGAACAAATACATGTTTACAAAGAGAAAGTAGAACATTTTGGAGATATACAAAAAAGTTTAAAAATAGACAATACAGTGGAGAAAAGTAAGAGATAGATGACAAATTGGATACTTCACACGAGGATGCAGAAATATTGTAGAATTCTTCTATAAAAGAAAAAAAAAATTAAATTCATGTGCCTCATTCTAATAGCTAGTAGGAGACCCGTTTTGAACTCCTTCGTGCTGTCTAGGCAGAGGGACAAAACAACAACAACCAAAACAATTTAAAAACGTCAAAACAAAAGCAAGAAAGCAAAATAAAAACAAAGCTGATCTTACTACATTCTGTTCTTCTAACCTCCAATCATCATTTTAGTCATTACTTTGTGATCCCATCCCCCTTCCCAAACAATAGATAAAATCGAAACCTTCCAGTTGTGTAGGATACCCGTCCTCGTCAAAAAGGATTGTGGCCTCCTCATGAGTGTTCCACTGGTGTGCCTGGTCACCTTCGCGGCGCTGTGTTATCCATTCCATCGACTCCTTTGCTACATCCACAAACTTGATCTCACTGGAGTAATAGGACAGTCCTCCCAGGTTCATGCCCACAGTGACGTTCCTGTTAGGCATCCTGATAAGTAGAAGCATATAAAATATTTTAATTCTGAGAATAGCACAAAATCTCACATCAAACGGATGGTAATGTTTAAGGAATGCACCTTTGACCATTGTCTGGCGACGTTAAGTCATTAAAAATGGACGAAATCAAGGTTGTCATATTTTCGGGGCGTTCATCTTTTTTTTCAGAAACAGGTACAAAAACAACCAAGTAAAATATCGCCATGTTTACAGAATCTCAATTTGAGTTAACATTCGATAAAACTGATTAAACTAGGACAAAATATAAACAAAACAAGATTTACACCGGGAGGTTAAGAGTCTTCTGTGACGTTCCCGACTTGTAAATTTTGATTAATTCAAGTAAGAAACGTCAGACTCCCAGATAGGAACATGATTACCAACTACGAGATCACCGGGAAAATCAACGTCCAGCTTCATATCGCACAAGATCACTATGGCGACTGTGAAGATTCCTTATTATCATCAATCTGCATCTCTCGAAAACCTGTACTGTACGTTTGTCTGTTAGCTGTTAACATATCGGACGCCAATCGTGACACTTGGAACACGCCAATGCTTAACGGACTGTGACATGTCAACACCGTAGGTGCTGGATGCAGGGATGTGTACATTTCTTCTTGGTTTCGATGATATTATAGTAACAACCATATACATTGCTACAACCATACACATTGCCACAACCATGTACATTACCACAACCTAATACATTGCCACAACCTGATACACTGCCACAACCATATACATTGTCACAACCTGATACATTGCCACAACCATGTACTTTGCCACAACCATGTACATTGTCAGAACCTGATACATTGCCACAACCATGTACATTGTCACAACATTATACATTGTCACAACATTATACATTGCCACAACCATGTACATTGTCACAACCTGATACATTGCCACAACGATGCACATTGTCACAACCATATACATTGCCACAACCATGTACATTGTCACAACTATATACATTGCCACAACCATGTTCATTGCCACAACCTTATACTTTGTCACAACCTGATGCATTGCCACAACCATGTAATTGCCACAACCATATACATTGTCACAACCATATACATTGCCACAACCTTATACATTGCCACAACCATATACATTGCCACAACCTTATACATTGCCACAACCATGTTCATTGCCACAACCTGATACATTGCCACAATCATATACATTGTCACAAACATATACATTGCCACAACCTTATACATTGCCACCACCTTATACATTGTCACAACCTGATACATTGCCATAACCATATACATTGCCACCACCTTATACATTCACCTGATACATTGTCACAACCTGATACATTGACACAACCATATACATTGACACAACCATATACAGTGCAGCCGCCTTTAATCTTTCCTTCAAAAGAAAACTCCCACAACAAGAGACCGAGAATGCTCTTACAGAAGAAATGTATTCAAAATAGAATTTCAAACTTGGTTAAAGGCTGTTTGGAGTTCTTTGATATCCACATCCTGTTAATTACATTTATTGAGTAAACAGTATTACAGTAAGTCTGAGACTGATAGTACTACGAATCGTAGTTCGAGGTTTTGATGAAGTCAAGAACTAGACGAGGAAAACATAGAACACTTACATTATATATACCAGGTAAACAAAGAACAATAGATAACAGATAAATAAAAACAATGATATCAGAAATATGGCAGAGATTGTTTGCACATTGCTAGAGGTATTTCATCTCATCCCAATATTCGAAGAAGGTACGCATGTAAAACGTTCTAAAATCTTAAAAAAATTATGTTCAATATCTTGAAATTTAAATTGTTAGTATTGTATTTTATATTGTGAGTCTTATATTTCATATTGTGTGTCTTGTATTTTATATTGTAAGTCTTGTATTTTATATTGCAAATCTTGTATTTTATATTGTAAGTCTTGTATTTTATATTGTAAGTCTTGTGTTTTATATTGTAAGTCTTGTGTTTTATATTGTAAGTCTTGTGTTTTATATTGTAAGTCTTGTATTTTATATTGTAAGTCTTGTGTTTTATATTGTAAGTCTTGTATTTTATATTGTAAATTTTGTATTTTATATTGTAAATTTTGTATTTTATATTGCAAATCTTGTATTTTATATTGTAAATTTTGTATTTTATATTGTAAATTTTGTATCTTATATTAAGTCTTGTATTTTATATTGTAAGTCTTGTGTTTTATATTGTGTGTCTTGTATTTTATATTGTAAGTCCTGTGTTTTATATTGCAAATCTTGTATTTTATATTGTAAATTTTGTATCTTATATTAAGTCTTGTATTTTATATTGTAAATCTTGTATTTTATATTGTAAATCTTGTGTTTTATATTGTAAGTCTTGTATTTTATATTGTAAATTTTGTATTTTATATTTAAGTCCTGTGTTTTATATTGTAAATCTTGTGTTTTATATTGTAAATTTTGTATCTTATATTAAGTCTTGTATTTTATATTGTAAGTCTTGTGTTTTATATTGTGTGTTTTGTATTTTATATTGTAAGTCTTGTATTTTATATTGTAAATCTTGTATTTTATATTGTAAGTCTTGTATTTTATATTGTAAGTCTTGTATCTTATATCAAATATCCTGTTTTATATTCAATATCTTATAAAATGTAATATTTATTATATCATATTATACTCGACAACGTAACATTACCCATGAATCAAATTATTTTGAATATACATCAGACAAATTCGAAAAGAAAAGAAAAGATTCTATAATGTATTTAAATAATTTAGAAAATTTTAAAAATATAATCACAAATTTTAAAACATATCACATTTTGAATATAAAATCACGCGATATTAGAATATTATTGAGACTCCGTGTGGAGTACAATGAGCAACTGTTGATACTGACTTGTTAAACAGGAAATATCACTATACTTCAATACAGAGATGGCCTGTTGTTCTAAAAATCAGTACTTACGTTAACGGGTCGTATTGTGAACAAGTATGACCTGTATATCCTGTCCAACACTCGCATTGACCATTCCAGCACGTGCCATAGTTACAGCTCTGTGTACATGCGCAGATGCCCGGACCCATGCAACTAATACCTTTGAAAGGATTGTTTAAAAAAAATACTTAAATACCAATATACATGTAACGTTAGACTCATTAGAGCCAAACAATGAACAAACTGCGTCATACAGCTGTTTCGTCCTTCTAGGACTCGTCAGTGATGTTACATCACACAGCTGTTTCGTCCTTCTAGGACTCGTCAGTGATGCTACATCATTCAGCTGTTTCGTCCTTCTAGGACTCGTCAGTGATGCTACATCATACAGCTGTTTCGTCCTTCTAGGACTCGTCAGTGATGCTACATCATTCAGCTGTTTCGTCCTTCTAGGACTCGTCAGTGATGCTACATCATACAGCTGTTTCGTCCTTCTAGGACTCGTCAGTGATGCTACATCATACAGCTGTTTAGTCCTTCTAGGACTCGTCAGTGATGTTACATCATACAGCTGCTTCGTCCTTCTATGACACGTCAGTGATGTTACATCATACAGCTGTTTCGTCCTTCTAGGACTCGTCAGTGATGCTACATCATACAGCTGTTTAGTCCTTCTAGGACTCGTCAGTGATGTTACATCATACAGCTGCTTCGTCCTTCTAGGACTCGTCAGTGATGTTACATCATACAGCTGTTTCGTCCTTCTAGGACTCGTCAGTGATGTTACATCATACAGCTGTTCCATCCTTCTAGGACTCGTCAGTGATGCTACATCATACAATTGTTTCGTCCTTCTAGGACTCGTCAGTGATGCTACATCATACAGCTGTTTCGTCCTTCTATGACACGGCAGTGATGTTACATCATACAGCTGTTTCGTCCTTCTAGGACTCGTCAGTGATGCTACATCATACAGCTGTTTAGTCCTTCTAGGACTCGTCAGTGATGCTACATCATACAACTGTTTCGTCCTTCTAGGACTCGTCAGTGATGCTACATCATACAGCTGTTTCGTCCTTCTAGGACTCGTCAGTGATGCTACATCATACAGCTGTTTCGTCCTTCTAGGACTCGTCAGTGATGTTACATCACACAACTATGTCGTCCTTCTAGGACTCGTCAGTGATGCTACATCATACAGCTGTTTCGTCCTTCTAGGACTCGACAGTGATGTTACATCATACAGCTGTTTCGTCCTTCTAGGACTCGACAGTGATGTTACATCATACAGCTGTTTCGTCCTTCTAGGACTCGACAGTGATGTTACATCACACAACTATGTCGTCCTTCTAGGACTCGTCAGTGATGTTACATCACACAGCTGTTTCGTCCTTCTAGGACTCGACAGTGATGTTACATCACACAACTATGTCGTCCTTCTACGACTCGTCAGTGATGCTACATCATACAACTATGTCGTCCTTCTAGGACTCGTCAGTGATGTTACATCACACAGCTGTTTCGTCCTTCTAGGACTCGACAGTGATGTTACATCACACAACTATGTCGTCCTTCTACGACTCGTCAGTGATGCTACATCATACAACTATGTCGTCCTTCTAGGACTCGTCAGTGATGCTACATCATACAGCTGTTTCGTCCTTCTAGGACTCGACAGTGATGTTACATCATACAGCTGTTTCGTCCTTCTAGGACTCGACAGTGATGTTACATCACACAACTATGTCGTCCTTCTAGGACTCGTCAGTGATGCTACATCATACAATTGTTTCGTCCTTTGAGGACTCGTCAGTGATGTTACATCACACAGTTGTTTCGTCCTTTTAGGACTCGACAGTGATGTTACATCACACAACTATGTCGTCCTTCTAGGACTCGTCAGTGATGCTACATCAGACAGCTGTTTCGTCCTTCTAGGACTCGACAGTGATGTTACATCATACAGCTGTTTCGTCCTTCTACGACTCGACAGTGATGTTACATCATACAGCTGTTTCGTCCTTCTAGGACTCGACAGTGATGTTACATCACACAACTATGTCGTCCTTCTAGGACTCGTCAGTGATGCTACATCATACAACTGTTTTGTCCTTATAGGACTCGTCAGTGATGCTACATCATACAATTGTTTCGTCCTTCCAGGACTCGTCAGTGATGCTACATCACACAACTATGTCGTCCTTCTAGGACTCGTCAGTGATGTTACATCACACAGCTGTTTCGTCCTTCTAGGACTCGACAGTGATGTTACATCACACAACTATGTCGTCCTTCTACGACTCGTCAGTGATGCTACATCATACAACTATGTCGTCCTTCTAGGACTTGTCAGTGATGTTACATCACACAGCTGTTTCGTCCTTCTAGGACTCGACAGTGATGTTACATCACACAACTATGTCGTCCTTCTACGACTCGTCAGTGATGCTACATCATACAACTGTTTCGTCCTTCTAGGACTCGTCAGTGATGCTACATCATACAATTGTTTCGTCCTTTCAGGACTCGACAGTGATGTTACATCATGCAACTGTTTCGTCCTTCTAGGACTCGTCAGTGATGCTACATCATACAATTGTTTCGTCCTTCTAGGACTCGTCAGTGATGCTACATCATACAACTGTTTCGTCCTTCCAGGACTCGTCAGTGATGCTACATCATACAACTGTTTCGTCCTTCTAGGACTCGTAAGTGATGCTACATCATACAGCTGTTTCGTCCTTCTAGGACTCGTCAGTGATGCTACATCATACAACTGTTTCGTCCTTCTAGGACTCGTAAGTGATGCTACATCATACAGCTGTTTCGTCCTTCTAGGACTCGTCAGTGATGATACATCACACAGCTGTTTCGTCCTTCTAGGACTCGACAGTGATGCTAAGGGCAGAAATTGTGTAAATCGAAAACATGAATTATGTTAAGATACCGGACAATGATAATATTCAAAACTGTATTATTCTTATAGAAGGATGACTTATGTAAGCACAAACATTTAGTAAGATACCAATTTTCACTAATTAAAGTTATAATTGATAAAGGTGTCTTGTTTGTAAGAAATTTTACTGGTGCAATACTTTCACAATATTGTGTTGTATCCCTAGTAACCTCAATGTACCATAAGTATTCGCCAATATCGAAAATTAAAAACTGCTGTTCTTTACAGAGAGATTCAAGTCGTAGTTACAACATCTGATATTGAAAAATACTGTCTCAGATAAATGTTTCGTGCTATTAATAACGGACAGAAAACTTCACACAAACAACTGCAAACTACATATACGTATGTTTTGTTTTAAGAATCAATACTCAATTTATGTGTAACATCATGATCACTCTGTGTCCATCCTCTGAGGAAGTGATCACCCTTACAGTTCCAAGATATATACTTCCATACAAGGACTACTTACTACTGTTTTACCAGTAAAATACTCACCCTGTGGACAATTACATTCCCAGACACACTTGTGTAGGCTTCCTGACCACGTCCACCCGGCTTCACAAGCGCATGTATGGTCTGGAATACAGAATATGCATTAAAGTGATTTCCTTCAGCATCAATATTTATAGGTCCATCCTTCGTTTAATTTGTGGGATCATTAGTCTACTTGTTTTCACCAGACTTAAAGATGGTGCCAGTGAAATACATGTATATTTACATTTTTTTGTTTTTTGTTTTTGTTTTTGTTTTTATTTTGTTTGTTTTAACAGGCATGTCTTTTATGCGTGCTTGCTATTTGATAACTATATTAAGAGAGTACGACAAGGTTTTTGTATTAGTTCATTTGACACTACCGAACACAACCCTACACAAATTATGAATGAAAAGAAGCATGCTATATTGAAGTTATAATGACCAAAGACCCAATGGACTACCGTTTTTACAAGTCCCATGACCAGAACACCCACAATCTCCGGAACAGTCGTCGTTAAAGTATCCTTGGAAGCACGTGCAGTGACCTCTGTTTACGTCACATCGTCCATTCCAGTTGCATTCGTTCTGACAGTGTAGGACGGCCGATGACCACCTTATTAAAGTAAGGATTGTGGAGGAAACACTGATGTGAAAATAGTTCAGCTAGATACTTGTAAAGTATAAGCTGGGTTCTACTGTCGTTATCTTAAAACAAAATTTAATGTTAAAATATAGTTTGGCTTGCGGTTGACAAAATTAATTTTGTATATATAGACATATCAGAATATATACTGAACGAATGATATTTAAATTTGTAAAAAGACACACATGTCAACAGTCCCTTTAAATAATAATTTAGATCAGATACAGTAGAGCCAAATTATATACCAAGCTATAAAACACTGTTGTCCTTCTGGAAACCGTGTTAAGGGCCGACATTTTGAGACCTAAAAGGAGACCGAGGCAAACAAAAATTGATCGAAAGAAAGCTGGATGTGTTCTGGACCCATAAATAATCACTCATCTGATAATTTCGAGAACGTAAAGAACCTGGGTATGTGGAATTGTCTGAAGGAAATAAAACATGGCGAGAGTACGGCAAATTTCGAGTATTAAACGTCCACCAGCAGTACTAGTGTCTACAAATCTACAATCTCGAATAAAATAGAGAGATCTTCACCAGATTATAATGTCAAACACACGGCTTCCCAGTGATCCACCTCTTTCTCGTGTCAAGGAAACTGCAATTGTCCCGAAATCGAAAAACTAAAATTCTCGCAGAAGTCGAACATATTCAGCGTAAACCACGTGATTCCTTAAGGAAACTTCCTCAGTGTAAAAACTTACCCTGTCAGTGTGAGTAGAATGAAGAATGGCCAAGCCCTTATCATGGCAGTAGTGTTACGGAATAATCTACAAGTTAAGTCAGACGACGGTAGCGACGCTGTCTGATTAACTCATATCAGGGAGAATTGTGTGGTACTATTTCGTGACAGACAAGTTAATCAGACTATTTCACGCATCATCCGACTATTTCACGCATCATCCGACTATTTCACGCATCATCCGACTATTTCACGGACAATTGTATTTTATTAAGAAAGTTAAGTTTTGAAAATGCAAGAGATTGTCCAGCTGAAAGGTGCAAAAAATCAGATCGAGTTATAAATAGAAACAGACGACAATATAGCACGTGACTTATCTGAGTTTGATTTT